CTGCACCAGCAGGGGAGTGTGACTGTGGTGGTCACTGTGGGGTCACTTCTGTCTCTGCAGTTGATAGGGCAGCAGCAGGATCATGTCACAGAAAGGGACGGTAAGGTCACTTCTGTAGGTGGCAGGTCACCCTTGACTTAGAGCTGGGATCGGTACTTTTCGGCTGACATCTGCCAGTGGCCCTGGTAGGCCAGCAAAAGGCACCTGGCTGGCATGCTGACTGTGGGATCCCCTCTGCCTACATACCCAGGAGGACCCATGCAGAAAGAAGGCCCACATATGGGTTGTCCTGTCCCTTCTGCTTGAGTCCATGACTGGACAGCAGCAGGCCCATGGCTTGGAAGATGCTGGTGCGGTGACTTCTGTCTGGTTGGCTGACAGGCCGCAAGGAGCCTGATGGATTGGGATGCCTACTTTAGGAGGGGGTTCCACCCTGATGGAGCTTTCTTTTGTAGTAGAAAAGAGTAGGAGAGAAAAAACTGCCACAAAGTGCACTTTGGAATGTTGGTGCTGGCCACGAGGAGGAAGAACTGTCCCTCAGAGTGTTGTGCTGCGTTGCCAGAGGTCACCCAAAGAGCGTCTGTGATCAGAGCATGGCTTTGTGTGAGAAGGAGCAGCTGGGGAGGGTTGATGAGACACTGGTGAAATGATGGAAATGCTGGGATGAGAGCAAGGTGGTGAACAGAGACGGGTGTCTACAGTCCTCAAAGAAATAGGTGAAAGTCATCAAAGTCAACAAAGTGCTCTGCCGGGCACTGCCCAGCCCAGCCCGGCCCCTGCCCACCTCTCCCCACCACCCTGAAGGGTCCCTCCCCACCCCATCCCGAAGAAGGGTCTTCGGGATGGGGTGGGGAGGGTTGGGGACACAGAGACCCCTGCCTGACTCCAGGACTCCTTCCCTGGGTAAAGCGGCGCTTGGGCTGACGGGGCCGAGCTTCCTCCGCAGCACCACAGAATGCCAGGACGTTTTGGGCTGGGGGGGACCTCGGCGATCACGATGCTTCCCCCCAGCCCAGGCTGCCCAAAGCCCACCCAGCCTGGCCGTGGGCAGTGCCAGGGAGGGGGCACCGCAGCCTGCGCCAAGGCCTCACTGCCCTGGGCGTGAAGGAGAGAAATCCCTGCCTGTCCGAAAGAAACCTGCCCTCTTTGAGGTTAAGGCCGTCACCCCTTGTCCTGTCGCTGCAGTCCATGATGAAGATCCCCCCCCAGCTTTCCTGGAGGCCCCTTTGGGCACGGGGAGGCCGCAGCGAGGTCCCCCCGCAGCCTTCTCCAGGCTCCACAAGCCCAGCTCCCTCAGCCTCTCTTCCCAGCGGAGCTGCTGCAGCCTCTGGGCATCCCCGCGGCCTCCCCACAGCCTTCTGGGGCTGGGGCCCTTCCTCTCCTCACCCCTGCATTCAGCCCCTCTCTGCAGCACTCTTTGCTTTCCTCCTTTCCAGATAAGGCATGGAAACTGAGCGCAGACTCGGCCATGGAATTCATCGTGAAGTATATCAGTGGCACAGAAAAGGTAATGGCAGCCGCTTGCATCACAGCTGTGCTCCTGGCGCTGCCCTCCAGGGGTCCCACACAGCCCCAGACCCCTCAAGGCTTTGGTCCTGCTGGCCGTGGGTGTCCCCCTAATGCTCTGTTGGTATCTTTGTGGCTGCCAGGACGACGAGGAGCAGAAGATGCTGTTCCTCAGCAAAATCTGCGATCTGTGCACATGTGTCACAGAGAGGGGTGTGCCAATGAACTTGCATGGCTTCTGCTGCCAAACTAACCTGGTGGAGAACATCATGGTGAGAGGATGCGCAGCGGGTTGGGGAAGGGGCAAGGCCCCCCGGCACCAGCCCCCTGGGAGGCGAGGGCTGGGGCAGCGCTGGCTCTGCTGCTGCTGGGTGCCGGCGGCTCCAAGGTCTCATCCTGCTTGTGCTCTGCAGGCGCTGCTGGAAAAGGAGCCCGTGGACAGCTTGCGCACAGCATTCCGGCAGAAGGCCATGGAGACTGTCGCCCTCCTCAGGTGCGTGCCCAGCCCCTGGTGGCAATGTCCTGGTGGCCCTGAAGCTGGCAGGGAGGCTGCCCGTCCCTCCCAGGGATGCCTGGCCAAGGGAGGTCCGTGTCCTCCTTCATAAGCCTCGAGGCACTGCGTCCAACAGGCTCCTCTCTCTCTTTTCTTCAGCAACACCGTACCAACAGCACTGTGTGGCAAAAAGGAGAGTCTCCTAAACATGTGCTGCAAGAGCATCTTCTTTCTGCCTCCGGAGTCGGATGTGCCAGAGACAGGAGTGCTCTACGCCAAGGTATGTGCTGGGTGAGGTACCGGCACCCCCAGTCCTGCTGAGCTGCTGCCTTGCTTCCCCGTGCTGACACAACCAGAGACCAGTGCAGGGCCGGGGCCCAGATTTGCTTTCCCAGCCTCGCCCCTTCCCCGACCTGATCTTGTGCTGCAGGAGGTCTGCACGCAGTGGCTTTTTAGCCCCAAAGCCACCCCTGAACTCCCGAGGGGCTCAGAGCCAGCTCCTGGGGGTGAGGAGGGCCACAGAAATAATTCGATGCTCTTCTGTCCTCCCTGCAGACTATGGATGCCTTGGACACCATGCTGGAGGGCTTCGTACGCAACTGTCCCATCGCCAGTTTCAACATAGAGATGCAGAATATGTTGAAGGTTTGGCATTTCCAAAGAATTTCCAAAGAATCCTCTCAGGTCACATTTGCAGACCGCTGTCAACCCCCAGCAACTTCTCTCCTCGCAGGTGATGCTGGACTTTGCTGTCTCCAAAAACTCAGCTGTGCGTGAGAGCGCTGTGAAGGTGATTGAGAGGCTGATTACTTTCATCCGCTGGTATTTGGTGATCAAGGTAAGGCACAAGGAATTTTCCACCCTTTCCTGCATCCCAGAGCATCCTGCCATGCAAGGGTGCCTGCGAGGCAACCCTCAACGCACGTGAGTGCCTCAGAAGCGTGAATCGAGGGTCTTTGTCCCTCCTTTGCCCCTGCTCTTCCCTCCCCAGGCCGTGCTCTCTCAGGGGCTGGCTCTGCCTCCACTAAGCCCTTTGTCTCTCCTCCCTTCCTCAAACAGATCTTAGGGAACTTTGAAAACTATGGCAACGATGAGCCCACAGATTTCAACCTGCGCATCCCCATCCTGGGCAAGCTGCTGGGCCACCTCTTGCTTTTCAGCAGTGGCGATGATTCCATGAGACACTCAGCTTTGGAAAGTCTTCATCGCATGTACTCAGTCGTCAGAGAAGGAAGAGGTAAGAAGGTGTGGTAGGCAATGTCCATCTGCACACAGACATCTGCTGGTTTGTCTGCCTGTTCTCCCTGAGTATTGTGAAGGATTGTTTTTGTGCTTGGTGGAGGCTGCCCACAGAATTCTGCCAGGTTCCCTGGCCTCCTCTGCTCCTCACAGCAGCTTCCCGCAGCATTCTGGCTATCGTTTTCCGCAGAAGCTAGACGCTCACCTGCCGTCCAGGAGCAGTTCTCTGCTGCTGTCCTTCCCAACCCTCCCCAGATCACCTACCACGCTGTTTTGTGGTCTCCCCCAGTCTAAGCCATCAATCGATGAGCACTTCCCAAACCGCATCTTCCCCGAGGAGTGAACAGCAGAGCCAGCCGTGCATCACCAGGGATGGTGACGCCCTCCAGAATGCTCCCTGACTGTTTGCTCCCTGCCGTCTTAAAGGCAGGTGTCAGGGGGCTTCCTGCACATCCTGACCCCGAGCAGAAGGGGGTCTGTGACACGCTGCTACCCCCACGGCACCCAACGCCATTGCTTCTCCTCCTTCTGCATCATCCCTGAGGTCCCTCTTGCTCCCAGCACTCCTCACCTTGTGCTTTACATCCCTGCCCACCACTCTCCTCGCCGTGGGTCTGAGCCTCCCTCCTCAGCCATTCCTAGTGAAAGTGCTTTTCACCATTTGGCAAGCTTGTTGGCAAAGATGCTCTTCCCTACTGACTCTTCGCTGTTTCCCCCTGTTTAGAATGCATATTGAGAGCGGACATGGTAAATTATGCAGAGAGACACAAGAAATTGGAGTATGCAAAACTTCCATTTTCTATACCATCAACTCCGTGTGAAATTGCCAAGGTAATGAGCTCTGGCCTTGCTGGGGATCTTGTCCGCAGCATCAGCAGGCATCTCGTGTGAGCAAAGGGGTCCAGAACCGGTGGGGCTGGCACGGCCTCACTCGCCCTGCTGAGAGGGTTCCTCTTGTCCCCAGGCTGGGGCTATGCGAAGGCTGCTCCCCTGTGTCCCGGCAGCAGCTCCAGCCCTCCTGGCCACCAGCAAGCCCTGGTTACCTGCAGGGCCAGCACTCTGGCCCCATATGCCCCATCCTCACCCCTTCCCCCGAGGGCCCTCTCTCCAGAGCTGCCCTTGCTGCTCAGCTAAGCAGCACCCTTGGGACACTCAGTGAGGCATGTCTTTGCTTCTCCTTCTTCCCACAGGGGTTTGGAGGATACCTCTTCCCTGATGAGAGGCTGGACATCATCCTCACAGCCCTTGAAGCTTTACAAGACTCCAGCATCCATGACAAGAAGAGGGCCTGCAGCGTGCTGGACGCAGCCTTGGAGGTCCCTGACTACTGGCTGACAGATGTAAGTGGCCTGTGGCCATGGCCCTGCCCTTGAGCTCTTCCAGGCGTGGTTCCTCTCTCCTTCCCTGCCTCCCTCCCTGCCTCCCTCGCACATCGGGGTCTCTTGGGCTCCAGAAGCCACCTGAAGCCAGCAGAGAGCAATGGAAGGCGCCAAAGTTTGAGTGGCAGCTGTGGCAATGGCTGCGGTCTGCTGGCAACACCATTCCCACTTTGTCCCCCAAGGTGCCAACGATCGTGGAGTGCATCAGGAGAAACCTGGGCAGCATCCACACGGCATCGGCGCGGCAGTGCCTGGACTCCCTGCTTCTCCAGCTGACCAAAAAGATGCCCTGGAGAGAAGTCATGAACCTGCTGCAGTTCTCTCCGCCACGTGACAGGTCCTGGCCTTAACATCCTTGAGGGCTTGTTCCGCTGTCGGGAGATGCACCTGGAGACTCTCTGCTTGCCACACCAATGGCAAAGAGCAGGACATCCCCAAGGAGCACAGCCCTCCTTCCCACCAATGTGTTCCAGCCCTACTGGGCCAGCCAGGGCTGCAGCAGCCCAGCTGTCCAAGGCAGCCCAGAGTCCCCCTGCCCCCAGGGAACACCAGCTCAGCCCCCTCCTGCCTGCCCAGGCTGGGCCCTCAGTGCTCCCCAAGTCACAGGGGCTGCAGGACAGCCTGGGTCCTCTGGGGCTGGCCCAGTTTGTGGCCCTGCGGCTGAGGCAGCCTCACTGACAGAGTATTCTGGGCTTGCAGCACTGACCTGGCCATGTGGGAGGTGATCCTGGCCATGCCGAAGACCTTGAATTGGGTTTTAAACTTCATGATGGGCTTCTTGCAGCTGTGCTACTGGTGCACCGCAGTCTCCGAAGACACCTGCATCCGTCGCTTGGCTGTGAGTTCCCAGATGAAACCTTGCTCCCAGCAGGGCCACGTGTGCCCCTTCAGGCACACAGGCACAGCCCTGTGCCCATCTACCCCCAAACTGCCAGCTCCCGCAGGACGTACGGACACATGGTCCCTGGGGCCGGCAAGCCCCCGTAGCTCCCCGCGCCTGGTGCCTCTTTGGTGCCAGCTGGCGCTGCCCCATCCCTGCCCAAAGGTGGGAGAAGAAGAAGCTGCAGGGAGCCCTGCAGGCCCTGCCAGGCTCTCACTGCTCTTTCTTGCAGATGCTGGCCCAGAATGAAAGTTATGAGTTTGGTAACCCGGTGCACCTCCAGAGCTACCTGAGGCACCCAAGCCCAGAGATGCGCTTTTTGGTTCTGAAAGGGCTCTGCACCGTGTCAGAGAGCCCTGAGAAGGTGAGCGGGCCATCGTCAAGCAAAGCCATGTTGGCAGCCTGGGGCTTTGCTCTTCTGCCCTCCCGTCCCTCCCCGCTGCCAGGAAGCAAGGCAGGAGGCTGGTGCTCAGGAACCAGAGCCCTTTGCCCAGGGTGGTCTCTCACTGCCTCACGGAAGGGAAATGGTGTCTTTCCTACAGGCAAGGGAAATTCAGGTCTTGCTGCCAGACATCCTGGAGGCCCTGCAGGACACCAACACAGACGTGGTGCTGAAGGCCCTGCTTGTGCTGAAAAACGTGATGGCTCATGTGGAGAGGAGGAAGGCCAGTGGCCCGGCTCTGCAGCTGGCTGAGAAGCTCCTGCCATTCTTTGACCACGTAAGTGTGCTGCGGGAGCCCGAGCCCTCAGCTGGGCCCCCTGTAACGAGGGCTGCCCTTCAGCCCGGCCCTGTGGGCAGCACTCAGGCAGGGCCTTCCCAGTCTCCTCGTCAGCCCAGGCGCTGGGGAGCTCTGCTTGGGCATGGCTGGTGCGGCTGGTGGCGAAAGTGGGGTGGCTGGCGGGCAGCCTGCGATGGCAACCGATTGCGTTGCCCTTCACAGGGCACCAGGCCTTGCAGCTGCCCCTGAGCAGCTCCTCTGGGAAGGATCCAGCGCTGAAGCATCTCACAGTGCTGGGAGCTCCCTTCACATCGGCCATGCTAATGCTGAAATTCCTCCTGTCCTCCTCCCTGCCAGGCGTCCAGCCAGGTGCAGGAGCACTCCATCTGCCTCTTCCAAACCGTGGTGGAGGCTGTGCTGCGGCAAAGGAAGAAGGAAATGAAGAGGACAGTTCACAGGAGCCTTCTCCCACTCTACTTTCACATGAGAGACCAGAGTGAGAGCGTAGCAAAGGTACAGATCTCAGAGCTGAGCAGTTATGTGGGCAAGGGTGTGCTGATGCCACAGGGTTGCTCTGGGGGATCTCTGGCCGGCAGCATGAGCTGCCTCCGATGGTGGCTGTCCCGTGGCCTTGCCTTGGCCACTGAACCCAGTGCACGCTGCCCCCCACCACAGCCTCCCATAACGCGCTGGGAAAGGCTCGCAGCCCTGCCAAGAGGAGGGGACAGAGGGTCTCCTTCCCAAGGCTGTGCTGCTACCTCCCAACCTCTGCTGCTCCGCAGGCCTCTGGGGAAGCTCTCGCCGTGACTGCAGAGTTTCTGCGATGCAAGGAGCTCAAGCGCTTGGCCCAGACAGAACAGACGTGGAGGATCGGGGAGTGCTTGGTAAGGACCCAACTTGGTTTGCCCCAGCTGGGCAAACGCGCCCGGCCAGAGCCCGCTGCCTGCAGCCGCATCCTCGCTCCCTTCCTGCCAGCACAGAGCCCCAGGGGGCTCTTCTGCAGGCCCCTCTGCCCTCCCTGCCCCCAGGATGCTGGAGGAGACCCTGGAGAGGGTGTGCAAGCCCCGTGACCCTGCGTTCTCTCTCTCTCCAGCTGCAGCAGGACAGAGGCAGAGTAGAAGAATACCTGCAGCAGAGCCAGCCCTACCTGCAGGCCACTCAGACCGACTTGCGACTTGAGGCCGTCAGATTCATTGGTGAGCCCAGCCCCTGGGTCCCTCTTGGGGCAGCCTTTGGCAGCCCCAGGCACTGCCCTGTTGCCCCCAGAGCCCCCCGACTGGGCCCTTGCTCCAGGGTGCAGGAGGGGGCACAGCCTGGCTGGCCAGGCCAGGGGCTGCGCTGCTGGGAGCGTGCTGGGGAGCGGGGCTCTGATGGGGTCTCTGTGTCTAGGTCTTGCTGCGCGCTACTGCGAGGACCAGAGCGAGGAGAAGCTGAATGAAATCCTCAGAGGTGAGTGAGGGCAGTGGGGGATGTGCTAGGGCTGGGGGGACAGCGGCAGAGGCCCCCGTGCCTTGCCCTGCTCCAGGGAAATGCTTCGGGGCGGAGGAGCAATGCAGCCATAGGAACGAGGGAGAGGAGACGGGGTAGCCTGTGGTGTCAGGGAATGGCCTCCCAGCCTGGAGCTGGGCAGTGCCGCTGAAAGGGTTGAGTGTCCCTGAGGAAGAGTCAGGGGAAAGGGCAGTAAGGCTGACAGAAGGTGGGAGCCTGTTGTAGAGCACGCAACCAGGACGAAGAGGGAGATGAGACAGCCTACAAGCAGCTAGGAGCAGGGTCACGATTGCTAGCCCTTGCTCTCATGGGGAAGCACAATAGCGAGAGGAAAGAGTCCAGGAGATTCCTGGAGTGTGTGAATCCTCCCAAGGGATGGAGGCAGGTGGTGAGGGAACCAGCTTGTGAAGGTGCCCCACTTGACCTGTGGTGCGCAGGTGGGGAAGGACTGGTGGCTGCATTTGGGACATTGCTGAGCAGCAGCTTTCAACGGATTCCTTTGTCCCTCCTGCTCCTCCTGGCCTGGGGAAGAGTCGAGTGGGGCTGGCATGGTCTGCAGGGGATGCCTGGGGATCTCTGCAAGGAGTGGGTTTTCATCTCTGCTCTTCTTTCTTTTGCAGTCCTCCGGCCTTCAAAGAAAGACCCGGAACCCATGGTCCGTTCCTTGGCAGTTCAAACCACCGTGATGCTGACGTCAAGGCATACCGCAACGTCAGGACGGAGATTTCCACTGCCGTGTTGCCGCTAGCCCCGCAGCAGTCCCCAAAACCCTTTCGTAAATATTACTATAAATGTTTAAATCTTGCACATTTTATAAATATGACTAAATTCAGATCGAGTTGAGACTTCATTTGTAACAAGCCCAACGTTCAGATCTCCAGGAGTAGGCCCAATCTTCCAAGTTCCTCTCATGGGTCCCTTTTCTCCTGACCCATCCTGGAACCTTCAAAGAATTTCGGAATCCCTGGAACCCTCTAAAAGCTTCCAAATCCCTGGCCCCCCAGCACCTTCCCAGTACCTCCCAGTAGTGCCTGTATCTAGAGGTGTCTAGCAAGTGGTTAACCCACCCAGTGCCTCCCAATATTGCTTAGAGGCCCCAGCACCCTCCCAGTGCCCCCCAGTAATGCCTATGGGCCTTTAGGACCCTCCCAGTGTCCCCCAGTATTGCCTATGGGCCTTCAGCACTCTCCCAGTGCCCCCCCAGTATTGCTCAGAGCCTCCCAGCACCCTCCCAGTGTCCCCCAGTAATGCCTATGGGCCTTCAGGACCCTCCCAGTGCCTCCCAGTAATGCCTATGGACCTTCAGCACTCTCCCAGTGCCCCCCCAGTATTGCTCAGAGCCCCCCAGCACCCTCCCAGTGCCCCCCAGTAATGCCTATGAGCCTTCAGGACCCTCCCAGTGCCCCCCGGTAATGCCTATGGGCCTTCAGAACCCTCCCAGTGCCCCCCAGTAATGCCTATTGGCCTTCAGGACCCTCCCAGTGTTCCCCAGTAATGCCTATGGGCCTTCAGGACCCTCCCAGTGTCCCCCAGTAATGCCTATGGACCTTCGTTACTCTCCCAGTGCCCCCCAGTAATGCCTATGGGCCTTCAGAACCCTCCCAGTGCCCCCCAGTAATGCCTATTGGCCTTCAGGACCCTCCCAGTGTCCCCCAGTAATGCCTGTGGACCTTCAGCACTCTTCCAGTGCCCCCCCAGTATTGCCCAGAGCCCCCCAGCACCCTCCCAGTGCCCCCCAGTAATGCCTATTGATCCTTGGTACTCTCCCAGTGCCCCCCAGTGCTGCCCTCAGCCGCCTCAATTCTGTTCCAGTGCGCCCCAGTAATGCCTGGAGACCCCCCAGTTCCCTCCCAGTGACCCCAGTGCTGTCCTGAGTGTCCCCAGTTCCCTCCCAATGCGTCCCAGTGTTGCTTAGAGCCCGCCAGCACCCTCCCAGTGCCCCCCCCCAGTAATGCCTGCGGATCTTCAGCTCTCTTCCAGCGCCCCCCAGTGTCGCTCAGAGGTTCCCAGCACTCTCCCAGTGCCCTCCAGTAATGCCCAGAGACCTCCTGTAGGCATTACTGGTGGGCACTGGGAGAACACTGAGGGGCTCTAGACAGCAATTTGGGGCACTGGGGTGTTATTGAGGGGCTCTGTGCAGTACTGGGGGGCACTGGGAGGGTACTGGGATGCACTAGATGCACACTGTGGGGACTCTGGGGAGCACTGGGTGGAACTGTGAGCACACTGGGGCACGGGGGCCAGCACTGGGGGTTACTGGGAGGGTACTGGTGACCTCTGGGCAGAACTGGGGGACACTGGGAGGGAGCAGGGGGGTCTCTAGGCATTACTGGGGGGCACTGGGAGGATGCTTGGGGACTCTGAGCAATACTGGGGGGAACTGGGAGAGAACTGGGGGCACTCAGGATGGAACTAGGGGGCACTGGGAGGGTATTGGGGGTCTCCAGGCATTACTGAGGGGCACTGGGAGGGAGCTGGGGGTCTCAGGCATTACTGGGGGGGCACTGGGAGGGAACTGGGCATCTCAAGTCCTTACCGGGGGGGCACTGGGAGTGATCTGGGCATCTCCGGTCCTTACCGGGGGGCACTAGAACGGTGTGGGGGGGTTCTGAGCAATACTGGTGGGCACTGGGAGGGAACTGGGCGTCTCTGGTCCTTACTGGGGGGACACTGGGAGTGATCTGGGAGTCTCCAGTCCTTACCGGGGGGGCACTGGGAGTGATCTGGGCGTCTCCAGTCCTTACTGGGGGGCACTGGGCGGGAACTGGGCATCTCCAGTCCTTACTGGGGGGCACTGGGAGGGAACTGGGCGTCTCCAGTCCTTACTGGGGGGACACTGGGAAGGAACTGGGCGTCTCCAGTCCTTACCGGGGGGCACTGGGAGGGAACTGGGCGTCTCCAGTCCTTACTGGGGGGCACTGGGAGTGATCTGGGCATCTCCAGTCCTTACTGGGGGGCACTGGGAGTGATCTGGGCGTCTCCAGTCCTTACTGGGGGGCACTGGGAGGGAACTGGGCATCTCCAGTCCTTACTGGGGGGACACTGGGAAGGAACTGGGCATCTCCAGTCCTTACCGGGGGGCACTGGGAGGGAACTGGGCGTCTCCAGTCCTTACCGGGGGGCACTGGGAGTGATCTGGGCATCTCCAGTCCTTACTGGGGGGCACTGGGAGTGATCTGGGCATCTCTGGTCCTTACTGAGGGGCACTGGGAGGGAACTGGACATCCCCAGTCCTTACTGGGGGGCACTGGGAAGGAACTGGGCATCTCCAGTCCTTACCGGGGTGGCACTGGGAGTGATCTGGGGGTCTGCAGTCCTTACTGGGGGGCACTGGGAGGGAACTGGGCGTCTCCAGTCCTTACTGGGGGGGCACTGGGAGTGAACTGGGGGTCTGCAGTCCTTACTGGGGGGCACTGGGAGGGAACTGGGCGTCTCCAGTCCTTACTGGGGGGCACTGGGAGGGCTCTGAGCAATACTGGTGGGCACTGGGAAGGAACTGGGCATCTCCGGTCCTTACCGGGGCGACACTGGGAGTGAACTGGGGGTCTGCAGTCCTTACTGGGGGGCACTGGGAGTGAACTGGAGGTCTGCAGTCCTTACTGGGGGGCACTGGGAAGGAACTGGACATCCCCAGTCCTTACTGGGGGGCACTGGGAGTGAACTGGGCGTCTCCAGTCCTTACCGGGGCGACACTGGGAGGGTACTGGGAAGGGGGGGGCTCCGCTCCTCGGTTCCCAGCGCGGCCCCGCCCGTGCCCCGCCCCCCCCCACCCCCCCCATCGTCGTGTGTCCCCCCCCCCCCCAGCCGCCGCCGCCGCCCTTTGTCCGCCGCCGCCGCGGGCCCCGCCATGGCGCCGCCGTGATGCGCGGCGGGGCCGGGGGGGGGGAAGCGGGGCCGGGGGCAACCGGGAGCCTGATGCCGGGGCCGCCGCCATGGGGCAGGTCCTGGGCTTCGCCCACTGCAGTACGGAGCGGGGGGGGGGGGGGGCGGGGGGGGGGGGTACCGGGGATGGGGGGTACCGGGGATGGAAACGGGAGGGGATGGGGAGGGGGTACCGGGAGCGGAGGGGGGGCCGGGGGGGGGGGGACCGGGTGGGGATGGGGGGGGGTGGGGGGGGTACCGGGAGGGGATGGGGAGGGTACTGGGAAAGGATGGGGGGGGTACTGGGAGGGGATGGGGGGGCACCGGGAGGGGATGCGGGGGGTGGGGGGGGTACCGGGAGGGGATGGGGGGGGTACCGGGGATGGGGGGGGCACCGGGAGGGGATGGGGAGGGTACTGGGAGAGGATGGGGGGGGTGGGGGGGGCACCGGGAGGGGATGGGGGGGGGTACCGGGGATGGGCAACCGGGAGGGACCGGGTGGGGATGGGGAACCGGGAGGGGGGGCACCGGGAGGGGATGGAGAGGGTGGGGGGACACCAGGGATGGGGAACCGGGGGAGGGGGGGGGGGGACACCGGGGATGGGGGCATCGGGAGAGGATTTAGGGGATGGGGGGGCACCGGAGGGCAGGGTGGGGTATAGGGAGTGTCTGGGGGGGGGCGGGGGGGGGCACCCGTGATGAAGCCACGGGGACACAGTGGGCATGGGGGTGTGGGGGGGGCAGGTTTGGGGGGCACCTGTAACTGGGGGGGGGGCAATACGGATGCACGGGGGGGGGGCAGGCCTTGTAGGGTGACCCCCATGCCCCCCTCCTTGCCCCTCTGATCACCCCCCCCCCCCCCAGAAGAGGCTCCATCCACGGCCTCCACCACGCCGGACTCCACGGAGGGTGAGTGGGGCCGAGCCCCCCCCCAGCCCAAATTAGGGTGACTATGGAGGGGGGGGAGCAACCCCCTGACCCCCCCCCCCATCCCCATTGCCCCCCCCCCCCCTCAAGGCAGCCCCGAGGAGCCGGACTTCGCCGAGCTGCAGGCGGCACCGGAGCCCCCCGAGGAGGAAGAGGAGGATGAAGATGCAGAGGTGGCGTCGGGGGGGGCCGGGGCCCCCCCCGGGAACTCACTTTCTCCTACATCGCCTTCTCCGGGGGGGGGGGCCCCCCCGGCGAGCCAGCTCCCCGAGGTCGTCGGGACCCCCGCCGGGGCCGCCCCCCCCGCCTGAATCCCCCCCCCCCCGGGGGCCGGACCCCCGCGCTTCTGCTCGTGCCCCCCCCACGAAGTGCCCCGGGGGACCGGGGGGGCCGGGGGGGGGCCCTTCGGTGCTGGCAGACCCCGTGCCCAGGGAGCCCCCACCGAGCCTGGGTATGGGGGGAAATGGGGGGGGGGGCGGGGGGTACAAAATGATGGGGGGGGGCGGCAATGATGGGGGGGTTGATGGAAAGGGGATGGGGGGGGGGGAAGGGAGGGTGTTGGGGGGGGGCAGGTGATGGGGGGGTCAACAGGAAACCCTGGGGGGGCTTAGGGTGCTGGGGGGGGGCAGAGGGGCCTGGTTACTGGGGGGGTCTTGAGGGGGGGGGGGGGCTCAGGGCACTGCTTGTGCCCCCCCCCCCAGCTTCTCCCCCCCCCTTCCCACAGCAGCGCCCGTGGGGCCCCCCCCGCCGCCCGCTCTGCCCCCCCCGCCTGCAGGGGGAGCCCCTCGAGCCCCCCCGCTGGAGCCCCCCCCGGCCCCCCCCCAAATCCCTGAGGGGCCCCCGCCCCCCCCCAACCAATCGCCGAGCCCCACAGGAGCTGACGTCCTGGGTGAGCAGCCAATCAGGGCCCCGGGATGCATTTTTTGGGAGGGGGGGGGACCGGGGGGGGGGGGGGGCAGGAATCCGGTTGCAGGGTGGGGCGCGATTGGTGGCTAAAAATAGGGGGGGGGGAGGCCCCCCCCCCCTGCACACAGCACCCGAGGCGCCATGGAGGGGCAAGGTGGGTGGCGGGGCCCCCCCCAGGCCTTTTGGGACCCCCCCAGCCTTTTGGGACCCCCCCCAGCTTTTTGGGACCCCCCCCCAAAGCTTTGTTGGACCCCCCCTATGCTGGGGGCTGGGGACTGGGAGCACTGGGATGTATTGGGGGGGGACTGGGAGCACTGGGAGAGGCCGTGGGGGGGGGCTGGGGACATTGAGGGGGGCACTGGGAGGAACTGGGGATGTGGGGAGGGGGCTGGGTGGGGGTACTGGGGGGTACTGGGAAGTACTGGGAGGTTCTGGAGGGGATACTGGGAGCATGGGGGGGGTCTTAAAGGAGGCTGGGAAGGGGGGGGAACATGGGGGGCACTGGGAGGGGTCTGCAGGGGGCACTGGGAGGCACTGGAAGCACGCTGGGGACACTGGGGTGATCTGGAGGGGATAGTGGGTGGACACTGGGAGCACTGGGGTGACACTGGGACTATCAGAGGGGCACTGGGGGGACCTGGAGGGGCTACTGGGGAGACTCTAGGGACTCTGGGGTGACCCGGAGGGGTTACTGGGAGCACTGGGGTGTCCTGGAGGGGCTTCTGGGGAGACTCTAGGGCTACTGGGAGCACTGGGGTGACCTGGAGGGGCAACTGGGAGCACTGGGGTGACCAAGAGGGGCTACTGGGGGCCACTGGGAGCCTTGACGGGGATACTGGGAGTACTGGAGGGGGCATTGGGACCTGTAGCAGGGCCCTGGGGTGACCTGGAGGGGCTACTGGGAGCACTGGGGTGACACTGGGACTATCAGAGGGGCTACTGGGGAGACCCTAGGGGCACTGGGGTGACCTGGAGGGGCTACTGGGGAGACTCTAGGGCTACTGGGGAGACTCTGGGGACTCTGGGGAGACCTGGAGGGGCTACTGGGAGCACTGGGGTGTCCTGGGGTGGCTACTGGAGGAGACTCCAGGGACACTGGGATGACCTGGAGGGGCTACTGGGAGCACTGGGGTGACACTGGGACTATCAGAGGGGCACTGGGGTGACCTGGAGGGGCTACTGGGGAGACTCTGGGGACTCTGGGGTGACTGGGGGGGGGCTACTAGGAGCACTGGGGTGACACTGGGACTATCAGAAGGGCACTGGGGGGACCTGGAGGGGCTACTGGGAGCACTGGGGTGACCTGGAGGTGCTACTGGGGAGCCTCTGGGAACTCTGTGTCACCCCAGAGGGGCTACTGGGAGCACTGGGAGGCCCGCTGGGAGGCCCCGGCACCCACACCAGTGTCCCCGCAGTGTGGGAGCTGCTGTACTGGCGCGCCCCGGGGCGCTCGGCGCTGGCGCTGGCAGGGACGCTGGGCACCCTTGGGTGCTTGGCGCGCTTCAGCGCCGTCAGCGTGGGCGCCTACGGGGCGCTGGCGGTGCTGGGGGTCACCCTCCCCCTGCGCCTGCACCAGGTGGCCCTAAGGGCGCTGCGCCGCGGCCCCCCCACCCCCGAGCAGCCCAGCCGGTGAGTGACACCCCCCGAAATCCCACCCCGGAGCCTCTGGGGTGTCCCCGGCCATATGGGATTGGGGTGGCCCCTGGGATTGGTGTCCCCGTGGTTTGGGGTGGCCTCGTGATTTGGGATGGCCCTTGGGATCCCTGTCCCTATAGCATTAAGGTGGCCCGTGGGATCCCTATCCCCATAGTTTGGGGTGTCCCTTGGGATCCCTGTCCCTATGGCATTGGGGTGGCCCCTGGGATCTCTGTCCCCGTAGTTTGGGGGGTCCCCTGGGGTCCCAGTCCCTATGGTATTGGGGTGGGCCTTGGGATCACTGTCCCCATGGGTTGGGGTGGCCCCTGGGATCGCCATCGCTGTGTTTTGGGGTGTCCCCGTGGTTTGGGGTGGCCCTTGGGATCCCCGTCCCTATGGCATTGGGGTGTCCCCTGGGGTCCCAGTCCCTATGGTATTGGGGTGGCCCCTGGGATTGCCATCGCTGTGTTTTGGGGTGTCCCCGTGGTTTGGGGTGGCCCCCGGGATTGGTGTCTGTGTGGTCTGGGGTGGCCCCATGGTTTGGGATGGCCCTTGGGATCCCCATCCCTATGTTATTGGGGTGGCCCTTGGGATCCCCATCCCCAGGGCATTGGGGTGGTCCCTGGGATCCCCCAACCCCATGACATGGGGTGTCCCCTCCTGTCCCCATCCCCGTCACATCGGGTGTACCCTGGGGTCCCCATCCCCGTGACATTTGGGTACACCCCTGGCATCCCCAACCCCATAACGCACAACGGCCCCTCCCATCCCCATCCCCGTCCCCCTACGCGATCCCCTGACCCCCACACCCCGGGGTGACCCTGCCGCCCTATTCCCACCCCCGGGTGACCCGTCCGGGTGACCTGGTGGCCGTCCTTGTCCCCATGGGGCAGGGTCCTCCATCCTGGTGCTGTCCACAGGGCATTGGGGTGTCCCCTGGGGGTCCCCATCCCATGACATTGGGTACCCCCTGGATCCCCAACCCCAGTGACAACGGGTGTCCCCTCCTGTCCCCATCCCCATGACATTGGGTACCCCCTGGGATCCCCAACCCCATGACACGGGGTGTCCCCTCCTGTCCCCATCCCCATGACATTCGGGTACCCCCTGGCATCCCCAACCCCAGAACGCACAACGTCCCCTCCCATCCCCATCCCCGACCCCCTGCCCGTCCCCGTGCCCACCCCGTGGGTGACCCGGCCGGGTGACCCGGTGGCCGTCCTTGTCCCCAGGGGGCCGGGGGACGCGGTGGGGCTGAGCCCCGAGCAGCAGCAGCGCTGGGCCCGGCGCCTGGGCCGGCACCTGGCGGCCGCCACCCGCACCCTCACCCGCCTCTTCCTCGTCCACAGCATCCCCGAGTCCCTCAAGGTGACGGGGGGCACGGGGGGGGGGCACGGGGGACAGGGGGGTCACGGGGGGCAGGGGGGTCATGGGGGGCAGTGGGGTTGTAGGGGAAGATTGGGGTTATGGGGGGACATTGGGGTTGTGGGGGAAGATTGGGGTTGTGGGGCGAATATTGGGGTTGTAGGGGACATTGGGGTTATGGGGGAAGATTGGGGTTGTAGGGGAATATTAGGGTCACGGGGGGCAGCGGGGGTCACAGGGGGCAGCAGGGTTATGGGGGGACATTGGGGTTGTAGGGGAAGATTGGGGTCATGGGGGAGCAGTGGGGGGCAGCGGGGGGGGGTTAAGGGGGGGGCAGGGGGGTCATGGGGGGTAGAAGGGTCATGGGGGGCAGCGGGGTTGGTTAGGGGAAGATTGGGGTTTATGGAGGGACATTGGGGTTGTAGGGGAATATTAGGGTCACGGGGGGGCAGCGGGGTTGTAGGGGAAGATTGGGGTCATGGGGGGCACGGGGGGCACAGGGGCAGTGGGGTTGTAGGGGAAGATTGGGGTTATAGGGGACTTTGGGGTCATGGGGGGCAGTGGGGTTGTAGGGGAAGATTGGGGGTTATAGGGGACATTAGGGTCATGGGGGATAGGAGGGGGCATTGGGGTCACGGGGGGCAGCAGGGTCATGGGGGGCAGCGGGGTTGTGGGGGGACATTGGGGTTATAGGGGAAGATTGGGGTTGTGGGGGAAGATTGGGGTTATAGGGGATATTGGGGTCATGGGGGACAGGAGGGGGCATTGGGGTCACAGGGGGCAGTGGGGTTATGGGGGAATATTGGGGTTATGGGGAACAGGAGGGGACACGGGGTGCTATGGGGCTGTGGGGGGCACTGGGGTCACTGGGACCATGGGGAGACATGGAAGGGCATCGGGGTCCTGGGGGACTATGGGGGGGGACATTGAGGACATGGGGGGACATTGGGGACATGGGGGGACACCGGGGACATTTGGGGACATTGGGGACATGGGGGGGACAACGGGGACATGGGGGGGGACACCGGCCCCTGTGGCACAAGGGGGCTGTGGGCGTGGGGAGGGGGCCAGCGGGGGGCGCTGTGGGGTGCCATGGGGTGGGGACGGGGTTGGGGACGGGGTTGGGGACAGGGTTGGGGACAGCGGCGGTGACAGCGCGCTCCGGGCGCAGTTCGCCTTCCTCTTCTACCTGCTCACCTACGTGGGGGCCGTCTTCAACGGGGTGACGCTGCTCGGAGTGGGTACGGCACGGGGGGGGCATGGGGGGGGACATGGGGACATGGGTGGGGACATGGGGATGGGGACACATGAATAGGGATGGGGACATGGGGACAGGGATGAGGATATGGGGACAGGGATGGGAACAGGGGATATGGGATGGTGATGGGGACATGGGGACGGGATATGGGATGGGGACACGGACATGGGGACACAAGGATAGGGACATGGGGATGGGGACATGGGGACAGGGATGAGAATATGGGGACGGGGATGGGGACACGGGGATGGGATATGGGATGGGGACATGGGGACATGGGGACGGGGATGGGATATGGGATGGGGACACGGACATGGGATGGGGACATGGGGACGTGGAGTGGGGACATGGGGACATGGGGATGGGGACATGGGATATGGGATGGGGACACAGGGACATGGGATGGGGACATGGGATATGGGATGGGGACACAGGGACATGGGATGGGGACAGGAATGGGGCAAAGGGATGGGGACACGGGGTGGGGACATGGGGACATGGGATGGGGACAGGGATGGGGACATGGGTTATGGGATGGGGACATGGGTTGGGGACAGGGGGATGGGATATGGGATGGGGATGGGGACACAGAGATGGGGACATGGGATGGGACATGGTGATGGGACATGGGTGATGGGATGGGGACATGGGGTGGGGACACAGGGTGGGGACAGGGGATGGGGACATGGGGACACGGGGGGGACACAGGGTGGGGACATGGGGACAGGATATGGGATGGGGACATGGGGTGGGGACATGGGGACATGGGAGGGACATGGGATGGGGACACGGGGACATGGGGACGGGGACAGGAATGGGGCAAAGGGATGGGGACATGGGGACACGGGGATGGGGACACAGGGACAGCAGTTTGGGAGCATGGGGGGGCACCTTATGGGGACAGGGGGGGTGGGGGACACATGGGGACATGGGGGGGACACAAGGGGACAAGGGGGGGTCCCTGATGTGGCCGCTCCCCCCCCAGGCGTCATCTGCGCGTTCACCTTCCCCGTGCTCTACCGGCACCACCAGGTACGGGGGGGGGGACACGGGGGGGGCACGGGGCTGGGGATACCAGGGGGGGGTGACACAGGTGGGGGGGGGACAGGTTTGGGGACACTGGGGACATTGGGGACACGGGGTATGGAGAGCATTGGGGACAGCAGGGGGAGGCTCACCGGGGGTGGAGAGCATCGGGGATCCCTCTGCCCCCCCCCACGTCCCCAATTGCCCCCCTCCCGGTCCCCAATTGCCCCCAAGACGTCCCCAATTGCCCCCCCACCCTAAAAAAAAAAATTGTCCCCAACTGTCCCCAAGGCCCAAATCGACCGGTACGGCAGCCTGCTGAGGAACCACCTGAGTCACCTCCGCGCCAGGTGAGGGACCCCCCCCCAATTTTTGGGGTGACCCCCCTCATTTTGGGGTGCCCAAAAAAAATTTTGGGGTGCCCCCTCCCCAAATTTTGGGGTGCCCCCCAATTTTAGGGGTGCCCTGTCTAAAAATTTTGGGGTGCCCCCCTCCCCAAATTTTGGGATGCCCCTTAAAAAATTGGGGTGCCCCATTCCCAAATTCTGGGGTGCTCCCCAAATTTTGGGGTGCCCCCTCCTCATTTTTGGGGGGGTTCCCCCCCTTTTTTGGGGTGCCCCCACCCCAATTTTGGGGGTGCCTCCTCTAAAAATTTTGGGGTGCCCCCTCTCCAATTTTTGGGGTGCCCCCCAATTTTTGGGGAGCCCCCTCCCCAATTTTTGGGGTGCCCCCCCCCACGGCCACCCTCTGTCCCCAGGATCCAGGCCAAGCTCCCAAGTGCCAAAGCGAAGCCGCAGTGACCCCCCCCCTCCCCGGGGGCGTCACCCTGCTGGGGGGGGGGGGACACGACCGGGGGCTCCCCCCACCCCCCCCAACCCCCCTCTGTGGGGGGGTTCGCTCGGGGGGGGGGCGCGGGGGCCCCCCCTGCGCGGGGTTTACACTTTAATAAAAACTCTTGTGACAAAGTGGCTCATTTGGGGGGGGGGGCAATGTGGGGGGGGGACACCTTGGGGACATCGGGGGGGGGCAGTGGGGATGGGGGGGGCTTGGGGACATGGGGGTGGGTGTGGGGACACATGGGGGGGCCTTAGGGACCTGGGGGGGGTCTTGGGGACATGGGGGGGGACAAAAAATGGGGGACACAGGGGAGGGGATAGACATGGGGGGGCCTTGGGGACATGGGGGGGTCTTGGGACATGGGGGGTCTTGGGGACATGGGGGGGGGGCAGTGGGGACATTGGGGGGGGGCCTTGGGGGCACGGGGGGGGGCACAAGGGGACCACGAGGACACGAGGGGAAGTGGGGGGGGGGCAAAATGGGGGACACAGGGGAGGGGAGGGACATGGGGGGGGCTTTGGGGACATGGGGGGGGGCTTGGGGACATTGGGGGGGGCACAAGGGGGCCACGAGGGGACATGGGGGGGGCAAATGGGGGACACGGGGGGGGGGTGAGCGGCCGGGGGGGACACGCGGGGAGGTGTCCGTGGGGTCCCCAAATCCCCCGTGCCCCCCCCTCCCACGCGTGTCCCCCCCCCTTGCCCCCGTGTCCCCCCCCCCACGTGTCCCCAGCGCCCGCAGAGCGCGGGAAAACCTTGGCGCAGGCCCCGCCCCCCGGCTCGCCAAGCCCCGCCCCCGGCTCGCCAAGCCCCGCCCCCCTCCCTCTCCGTTGCCAGGGCCACGGCGGTTGCCGCGCGACGTAAACAAAGGACGCCGGACGTGGTGACGTCAGGGGCATGGAACGCCGTCGCCATGGCGACACGCGCAGTGTTTACTCCGGCGGCGGCGGCAGCACGTGGGGCCGGGCCGGGGCAACCGGCACCGGGACAGCCCGGGGGGGACCGGGCCTACGGGCACCGGGACAGCCTGGGGGGGCCGGGACCGGGACAACCGGGACCTGGACAGCCTGGGGAGACCGGGACAACCGGGACAGGGCCCACCGGGACAGCCTGGGGGGGCCGGGCCTACCGGGACAACCGGGACTGGGCCTACGGGCACCGGGACAGCCTGGGGGGGCCGGGACCGGGACAACCGGGACCGGGACAGCCTGGGGGGACCGGGACAACCAGGACTGGGACAGGGCCCACCGGGACAGGGACAACCGGGACCGGGATAGCGGCACCGGGACCGGGACAGCCTGGGGGAGCCAGGCCCACCGGGACATCCCGGGGGGACCAGGACAACCGGGACCGGGATACTGGCACCGGGACTGGGACAGCCCGGGGGAACCGGGACAACCAGGACCGGGATGGCCCCGGGGGGGACAAGGCCTGCAGGCACTGGCACCGGGACAGCCTGGGGGGACCGGGCTTACCGGGACAACCAGGACTGGGATAATTGGGACAGGCTGGGGGGACCGGGACAGCAGGCACCGGGGCAGGGACAGCCCGGGGGGACCGGGACAGCAGGCACTGGGACCAGGAAAGTCCGGGACAATTGGACCTGCAGGCACCGGGACCGGGACAGCCCGGGACAACCGGGACAGCCTGGGACAAGCAGCCCTGCAGGCACCGGGACCGGGTGCACCGGGGGCCAGGAGGGCTGGGGACAAGGTGACCAGGGCCACCAGGACCGTGCAGAGGGGGCCACCGGCTCTGCAGGCACCAGGATGGAGTCACCGGGGCCAGGACAGCCGGGGACAACCGGGCCTGAAGGCACCGGGACAGGGAGCACCCGGTACCGGGAGCACCGGGGAGCCCCAGCACCGGGGACGGCCGGAGCCAGGAGCAGTGGGGCTGGGGGCACCCCGGGGGCAGGGAGTGAATGAATGAATGAATGAATGAATGAATGAATGAACGAACGAATGAACGAATGAATGAATGGGAACGCGTGGGAACGGCCCCGCGGGCCGGCCGGGCGCGGTGGCCCCGCCGTGACTCAGCGCCGGGCGCGGGCTCCCACGGGTGACATCAGAGCCCCCGGCCGTGCCCCGTCCGTGCCACCCGGGGCCGAGCCATCGGTCGGGAGCCCGGGGGTGGTCCCCGAGCCCGGGATGGGCACGGCGGGGGCGGCAGCCGGTTAATCCCCGGGAGATCCTGCCCCGGGAGGGGGGATGCATCCCGTGTCCCTGTCATCCTCCGGGACCTGCCTCCCCCTTCCCGGCTCCCCGGGACCATCCCCCCAGAGTCTGGCCCCCGACACCCCCATACTGGGAACCTCCGGTGCCCCCCGCCCCAAAAACCCCGGGGGCTTTGCAGCCCGGTCCCGGTTGCACCCTGTCGGGGGCTCTCCCTGTTGTCCCGGTACCGAGACCACCCGGTGGTCTGCAGCCAGGTCCCGGTAACACCTCGGGGGGGGCAAATAGAGTTGCCGCGGTACCGGGACCAGCCCCCCCCCGCCCTCCCGGTGACTCACCGCCGGGTCTCGGTATCACTTACAGGGGGTTCCCGGTGTCCCGGTCCCGGCACGTCCCGGTGCTCTGCAGCCCGGTCCCGGTAACGTCTCGGCGGGGGGGGGAGGGGAGGGGGAGGGGGTGTCCCCGGTAGCGGGGGCGGGGAACGGGAACACCCCCCCCCGGGGCCGGTGCTCTGAGCACGTGCGTGGCGGGGCTGGGGGGGGAATTCCCAGCTTGGGGGCGGGGTTACGGGAGGACGTCACGGGGGGGGCGGAGCACCGGGGGTGGGGGGTGGGGGTCACCGGGTTTACGGGGGGGGGGTCAGCAAGGGAGGGGGGCACGGGAAAGGGTCGGGGGGGGGGGGGGGGAAGGGAATCACCGGGAGGGGGTTACCGGGGGGTGGGGGGGGGCACGGGGGGGGGTGCTAATGAAGGGGGGGGGGGCACCGGGGGGGGTACGGGTGGGTTACCGGGGGGTGCGGGGCCGTGGTCCCGGACGGTTCGGGCCGTTTCTAGAAGCGCGGCGCCCGTTTCTATTAATACGCGCACGGCGGCGGCGGCGGCGGCGGCGGCGAAGGGATTCCCTGTGACGTCATTGCTAGGATACCAAACAAACACTCCGAGACAAGCCCATATATGGCTAATTGCGTCACAGGAACTCCGGCGGGGCGGGGCGAGGGATGCCCCCCGCTCCCCGCCCTCCTCCTCGGCGCCTCTTAACGGCGGCGGCAGCGGCGGGGCCGCAGAGCGGCGGCGGCACCGGCACCGGCAAGGGGCAGCGACACCGGCACCGGCACCGGCGGGGCTCCGAGGGGGGCTCGGGGGGTCCGCCGTGACGTCAGCAAGGGGGCGGGGCTCCGCCGTATAAAGCGGCCGCGCGGCGGAGAGGGGTTCATTCATAAAGAACGTGCGGAGGACACCGGGGAACCGAACCGGGAACGGGGACTTAGCACCGCCGGACCGGGACCGGCGCCTGGCACGGATGCAAGGGGGCTCGTAGCAGCGGTACCGGGACTCGGAGCCACCGGAGAGGAGCTTGGGGACGGGTTCCAACGGGACTGAGCGGCGGCGGAGCGGAGCGGAGCCCGGACCGGGAGTACCGGCGGCGAACCGGGACTTTGCAGCAGCGGCACGGATGCAGCGGGACTTGAGAACGGCAACCGGGACGGCGCCTCGCGGGGTTTAACGGCGGAGCGGGGCTCGTACCGGAGCCCGGAACGGCAGCGGCGGCGGCTGCTCGCCCCGGCGGGGTGCTCGAGCTCCGGGGCGGCGGAACGGGACTCTGCACGGCGGCAGCGCGGACCTTACCGGCCCCTCGACCCGGCGAGGCGGCTCCAGCAGCGGGCCCCGGCGGCGGCGATGCCGGTGGCTTGACTTTTCCCCCGCTCCGGGCGCAGCCTTGGCGTGGCGGCGCGGCCCCCGCGCCCCCGGGGCCATGTACCAGGGGTTCCCCGGTGACTACGACTCGGGCTCCCGGTGCAGCTCCTCGCCCTCGGCGGAGTCTCAGTACCTCTCCTCGGTGGACTCCTTCGGTAGCCCGGCGGCGGCGGCGGCCGCGCAGGTGAGAGAGAGAACGAGAGAGCCCCGGAGCGGCGGCGGGGGGCGGCGGCGGAGCCGGGGGGGGGGGGGCGGGGTCGTGCGTAAACGCGTGACGCGCTGGAACCCTCCGTGATGACGCGGCGCGGGGAGAGCGCGCGCGCGCGCCGGGTTATTTTGGAACGCGGCGCCCCCCCCCACAACCCCCCCCCCTCTGTTGCTAGGAGACGGGCGGATGGCCCCGCCCACCCCCCCCGCGGCCACGCCCCCTCCCAGCTGGGTGCTTCGGGGTTATTTTTTTTTGGGGGGGGTTCAGGGTTGGGGAGCATCCCCTAAAATTGAATATTTGGGGAGTGTCCCCAAAATGCGTGAGGTTTTGGGGAGCATTGCAACCCCCCCAAAAATAAATTTAACCCCTTGGGAGAGCGCCCCCAAAATATTTAAGGGCGCCCCCAAAATATTTAAGGATTTGGGGAGCATTGCACCCCTCCCCCCCCAAAAAAAAAATAATTAACCCTTGGGGGTAATGCACCCAAAATATTTAAGGGGTGGGGGGGGCATTGCACACCCCCCCCCAAAGAATATTAACCCTTGGGAGAGCGCCCCCAAAATATTTAAGGTTTTGGGGAGCATTGCACCCCCCCCCAGAAAAAAAATAAACTTAACCCTTGGGGTAATGCACCCAAAATATTTATGGGGTGGGGGTGTGGGGGAGCATTGCACCCCTCCCCAAAAATAAATGTAACCCTTGGGAGAGCGCCCCCAAAATCTTTAAGGATTTGGGGAGTATTGCACCCCCCAAAAAATAAATGTAACCCTTGGGGGAGTGCCCCCAAAATATTTAAGGCCTCGGGGTGGGGGAGCATTGAACCCTCCCCAAAGTAAATTTAACCCTTGGTGGAGTTAAACACCCCCACCCCCCCCAAAAAAAAAAATCTACACTAAGCTTTGAGTGTAGGGGGACCCCCCCCCCAAAAAAAAAAAATTAAAAAAAATTAAGCCCCCTATTCAAAAAAATTAACCCTTAGGGGTGTGTGGGGAGTGTTGCCCCCCCCCCCCCAAAGATTTTAAGCCTTGGAGGAAACACTGTGTCCCACCCCCCAAAAAAAAAAGAAATTACCCCTTGGTGGTTTGGGGGGAGTGCTGCCCCCCCCCCCCCCCATAGGAGTTTAACCCTTTGGGGTTGTTGAGGGAGTGCTGCACCCCCAAAATTTATGGGTCTCAGTTCAATGTGTGTATGGGGGGGGGGGGAACACAGTGCGCAATTCACAATTTGCCCCCCCCCCAATTTCCTTGTGCAACTGGGGTGCAGCAGGCACATGGTTGTTTCCCCCCCCCCAGTGCAATTTTTGGGGGGTACGGGGGGACAGTGCATTGCAAGGTCTCTGTACAGGGGTGCTGGGGTGCAGGGTCTTGCACGTTGGTGCCAGCAGGGTGAGAGCTCTGTGCATGGGTGCTGGAGGCTCCATGCGCAAGGGACTTGTGCACAACATCCCTTGCACCAATGTGCATCTTGCAAGGGGTCTGTGCAAGGTCTTGCACGTTGATGCCAGAGGAGTGAGGTCTCTGTGCACAAGGGACTTGTGCACATTGGTGCAAGGGAGGTCAAGCACATTGCAAGGTATCTGTGCACAGGCTCTGGGGTGCAAGGTCTTGCACGTCGGTGCCAGAGCAGTGAGGTCTTCGTGCACGGGTGCTGGAGGCTCCGTGCACAAGGGACTCGTGCACAACGTTCCTTGCACTAATGCACACGTTGCAAGGTCTCTGTGCACAGGTGCTGGGGTGCAAGGTCTTGCACGTTGGTGCCAGCAGGATGAGAGCTCCATGTGTGGGTACTGGAAGCTCTGTGCACAAGGGACTTGTGCACGTTGGTGCAAGGGAGGTCAAGCACATTGCAAGGTATCTGTGCACAGGCTCTGGGGTACGAAGTCTTGCACGTTGGTGCCAGAGCAGTGAGGTTTCCGTGCATGGGTGCTGGGGGCTCCGTGCACAAGGGACTTGTGCACAACATCCCTTGCACCAATGTGCACATTGCAACGTGTCTGTGCATGGTGCTGGGCCACAAGATCTTTCATGTTGGTGCCAGCAGGATGAGAGCTCCATGTGTGGGTACTGGAAGCTCTGTGCACAAGGGACTTGTGCACATTGGTGCAAGGGAGGTTGAGCACATTGCAAGGTGTCTTTGCATGGGTGCTGGGACGCAAGGTCTTGCACGTTGGTGCCAGAGGAGCGAGGTCTCTGTGCACGGGTGCTGGAGGCTCCATGCACAAGGGACTTGTGCACAACATCCCTTGCACCAACGTGCACATTGCAAGGGGTCTGTGTGTCTGTGCATGGGTGCAGGGGTGCAAAGTTTTGGGTGCTGGACCGCAAGGTCTTGCACATTGGTGCCCGCAGGCATGCGCTGGTGCCGGCGAGGTGGCACGCATCGCCACGAGCCTTGCTCCCACCTGCTGGTGCCCTGCAGAAGCAGGGGAGGGGGGGTGGGCACCCATGGGTGCTCCGGGGGTGGTTCTGCAGCACCCTGACCGTCCCCTTCTCCACAGGAGTGCAGCGGCCTGGGGGACATGCCCGGCTCCTTCGTGCCCACGGTGACGGCCATCACCACGAGCCAGGACCTGCAGTGGCTGGTGCAGCCCACCCTCATCTCCTCGGTGGCCCAGTCGCAGCCCCCGGGGGGGCCCATGGCGCATCCTCCCCCCCCAACAGCCCCCGTGGACCCTTATGACCTGCCGGGACCCAGTTACTCCGCACCGGGCATGGGGGGCTTCCCTTCAGCCCCCCCGGCGCGTCCCGCTCGCGCCCGGCCCCGGCGGAGCCGTGAGGAAACGGTGAGTTCCCAAAACGGTCCCCAACCCTTGGGGGGGGCTCAGGGGTGGTGGGATGGTCGAGGGGGGGTGACACGGTGGTGGCACCTCGCTGATGGCCCTGTCCCCTCGCAGTTGACCCCGGAGGAGGAGGAGAAGCGCCGCGTGAGGAGGGAGAGGAACAAGCTGGCGGCCGCCAAGTGCCGCAACCGGCGCCGGGAGCTGACGGACCGGCTGCAGGCGGTGAGTGGCACGAGGGGGACACGAGGGGACATCGGGGTCCCCAGAGGTTGGGGATGTCCAAAAAAAAAAAAAAAAAAAGGGTGGGCATGGCCAGCAGGGTGGGGTGGTGGGGGACGCGGAGGTGTCGCCGACAGCTGGGGACGTCACAGGGGGACTTGATGGTGAAGGGTGAGGGGTCTGGGGACAGAGCTGCTGGTGGCAGTGGGGACAGTGGTGTCCCCAACAGCTGGGGACATCTCAGAGGGGCTTGATGGTGAAGGATGAGGGGTCTGGGGATGTTATGTGGGGACAGAGTTGATGGTGACAGCGGTGTCCCCAATACCTGGGGACATCTCGGGGGACTTGATGCTGAAGGATGAGGGGTCTGGGGACACATTGCTGATGGTGGCAGTAAGGACAGAGGTGTCCCCAATAGCTTGGGACATCTTGGGGGACTTGATGCTGAAGGATGAGGGGCTTGGGGATGTTATATGGGGACAGCAGTGTCCCCAATATCTGGGGACATCTCGGGGGGACTCAATGCTGAAGGATGAGGGGTCTGGGGACGTTATATGGGGACAGAGCTGATGGTGGCAGTGGAGACAGTGGTGTCCCCAACAGCTGGGGACATTTTGGGGGACTTGATGCTGAAGGATGAGGGGTCTGGGGACACAGAGCTACTGGTGGCAGTGGTGTCCCCAATATCTGGGGACATCTCAGGGGACTTGATGCTGAAGGGTGAGGGACCTGGGGACACATTGCTGATGGTGGCAGTAGGGACAGAGGTGTCCCCAATAGCTTGGGACATCTTGGGGGACTCAATGCTGAAGGGTGAGGGGCTTGGGGATGTTATATGGGGACAGCGGTGTCCCCAGTATCTGGGGACATCTCGGGGGGACTCGATGCTGAAGGATGAGGGGTCTGGGGACACAGAGCTACTGGTGGCAGTGGGGACAGAGGTGTCCCCAATATCTGGGGACATCTCAGGGGACTTGATGCTGAAGGGTGAGGGGTCTGGGGACATTATGTGGGGACAGAGCCACGCCAAAATTTGCGGATGCTGAGGATGTCACGTGGGGACAGTGATGTCCTCAGGATGCTGGGAGGGGACACCGATGTCCCCAGGGCACACTGGAGAGGGTGACAAGGACTTGTAGGAGTGCAGATGCTGGGGATGCTCGATGGTGACAATGGCGTCATGATGCTGGGGACATCACGGGGACATTTCTGGGGCTGTGGGCACCAGATGGGGACAATGATGTCCTCAGGACATGGGGACAATGACGTCCCCAGTCCCTGTTGGAGGGACAGATGGACACCTACGGGTGCATGTCCCAGAGAGCTGGGGATGTTGGTTGGGGACAGTGGTGTCCCCAAGGCTGGGGGATGCCACCAGGGGCCGATGATGTCCCTGGGAGCTGGGCACATCGAGGGGGGTGGCACTGTCCCCAGGGCTTGGGGACATCAGAGGGGACAGATGGATGTCCAAGGATGTTGGAGGGGGGGCAATGTGTCCCCAAAAATTGGGGACATCAGAGAAGGGGACCTGGGAATGGCAGAGGGGACAGTGGTGATCCCAGGAGCTGGGGACACCTGGAGGAGGAGGACGGTGACCCCAAAAGGGGACATCAGAGGGGAGATGTGATACTTGGGATGCCCGGGGAGGGGGTGACAGTGTCCCCAAAAGCAGGAGACACCGACCCAGGGACACTGAAGGGGAGTGCTGCCACCCCCAGCAGCAGGGGACATCGATGGGGGAGGTGTCACAGGGACAATGCCACCCCCAGGAGCAGGGGACATCAGAGGGCAGGAGGGTGCAAGGGCAGGGGAGGGGGACAAAGAGCAGGGGACACAGGAGGGTGGCACCCAGAGGTGCTGGAGGGGGACAAGGCTGTCCCCAAAATGAGGGGCAAGTGGGATGGCTGGGGGTGCTGGAGGAGGAGGTGGCCCCTGTCCCCATGAGAGGGGGGACATCAGAGGGGGACATTGGAGGGGGACAATGTTGTCCCCAGGAGCTGGGGATACCCCTGTGAAAGGCATTGAGGGGACATTGGAAGAGGGGACAGCGCTGTCCCCAGGATCGGGGGGGGGGGACATCGGAGGGGGCTGTACACCCCGGGGGGGGGATGCTGGAGGTGTCACCTCCATCCCCAAAAATGCAGCGGGGAGAGCGCCGATGCCACCTGGGTCCCTTGGTGGGGTCCCTTGGTGATGTCCCGTGATGTCCCTCGGTGTCCCTACCTGTTCCTTGGTGGCACCCCTTGGTGTCCCTTGGCGATGTCCCTGCCTGTCCCTTGGTGTCCCTCGGTGTCCCTACCTGTCCCTCACCCTGTCCCCTTGTCCCCCCCCCAGGAGACGGACCAGCTGGAGGAGGAGAAAGCCGAGCTGGAGTCGGAGATCGCCGAGCTGCAGAAGGAGAAGGAGCGCCTGGAATTCGTCCTGGTGGCCCACGCGCCCGCCTGCAAGCTCCCCTTCGAGGACGCCGCACCCTTGGGTGCCGGCCCCCCCGAGGTGAGCACCCTGGGCAAAGAGGAGCCGCCGGGGCCCGTCGCCTTCCCGTTCCAGCCGGGTCCCCAGGGCCCCTTCCCCAGCTGCTGCTTCGCGCCGGGGGCCCCCCCCCCGGTGCCACCTAACCCCTCCTATACGTCTTCGTTTGTGTTCACCTACCCAGAGGGAGCCACCTGCGGAGCCTCGCATCAGCGGAGCAGCAGCAGCGACCAGTCCTCGGACTCCTTGAATTCTCCCTCGCTCCTGGCGTTGTGAACGGGCCCCCCCCCAAAAAAAAATCATAATCCCCCCCCCCAAAAAAAAAATCATAAAAAACAAAAAACCCACACGGATTTAATTGGGCGCCTCCTGTCCCGTCCCACGCACCCCAGGTGGTTTTTTTTAATTTTTTTACTTTTTTTTTTTTTTTTATTTTTTGGAGGTCTTTTTGGGGTTCGGTCCCTTTTTTGTTATTATTTTTTTTAATTTTTGGTGGTCTTTTTGGGGTTTGGTCCCTTTTTTTTTTTCTTTCTTTTAAATTTTTAGTGGTTTTGGGATTTGGTCCCTTTTTTTTTTCTTTTTTTTTTCTTTAAATCTTTGGTCTTTTTGGGGTTTGGTCCCTTTTTTATTTTATTTTTTTTTTCCTTTTTGGACTTGGTTGAGCCCATTTATTTTTTTTTTTTTGGGGTGGCGGCGCTCCCTCGCCCTGACTTTTTGGGGGGTGTAAAGGAAGTGGCCCTGCGGTGTCCCCACCCTGCCACCTCCGAGGCAGTTCGTGCCCCCATCCCCTTCGCACGATGCTGGGGGGGGGCTTCACGCAGCACCCCCAGCGCTCTGGGGGTGTCCGTGCGCCGTCCCCCCCCACCCCTGGGGGGGTCCCTTGGGTACCTCCATCACCTTCAAGGTGTCCCTGTCCCATCGCCACCGTCCCCTGGGGTGTCACCGAGCACCTCCGTTGACTATTTTTATTTTTTTTAATATTTTTTATTTTTTTGGGAAGGGTCCGTGCCCCCCCCTCGCCACCACCCCGGGAAGGTCCCAGTGGCATTTTTGTCACCTTCAAGGTGTGCGTGCCCGGGGGGGGGGGGGGGGTCACTTTGCGCCTCCCTTGCTTTTTTTGGGGGTGTCCGTGCACCCTCGCCACTGCCCTGGGGAGGTCACCCCGGAGGTGACCCCGTCCCTCGGGGGGGGGGTCGGGGGGGTCACGCAGCATCTCCTTGGCCCCGAGATTTTGGGTGCCCCCGTGTCACCTCTCAGGTGGCCGTGCCCCGTCCCCCCCACCCTAGGGGGCTCAGTGCACCATCTCCGTCCCCCCCCCCCCCCCCCCCCCCCCTTGGAGCTCCCCATGCCCCATCCCCGTTATCATGGGGGGGGGGTCTCCTTGCGGCGCCCCCACCCTGGGGTGCCCACGGTTTTGGCTCCACCGCTGATGCTGGGGCTCCAGGTGGCACCTCCAGCACCCAGCTGGCACCGGGGGGGCTCCCACCTTGCTTGTGTGTCCCCCCCCCCCTTCTGACCCCTGCCTCACTGTGAACGGCTCTGTCCCCCCCCCCCATGGGGGCCCTCCCCTTGGTGTCCCCCGCCCTGCGCCGTCCCCTTCTCAGTGACCAAGCTTCGCCAGCGTTGCCTCTGTTCTCTCTCTATATTATATATATATTTTTGTTGCGGGGGGGGGGGGGAAAAAAGGGGCTGCCTCCCTTCCCCCCCCCCCTCTCCGGGAGATGTTTAATTTTTTATTATTATTATTATTGCCTGTGCTGTATTTTGTGACTCTGTTACGGGCTCGGTCCCCTCCGCGCCCCCCCCCCCCCCCCCCCAAAACCCTTTTCCCCTTTGCGCCCCCCCCCCTGTTGTCCGCGCTCGCCCTATGGTCAATAAAGCAGCTTCGGATCGGCCCCGAGTCCTCTTTTTTTTTTTTCCCCCCCCCCCCCCCCCTTCCCTTTTCTGGGGGGGGTTTGGGGTCTCTGAGTTGTGGGGTGGGAAGGGTGAGGGGTCACCTTGGACCCCCCCAAGGGGGACCCCCCAGGGGAACCGGGGTCCTGGGGCAAATGGGGAGGGGGTGGGTGCAAGGAGGTGTAGGGCAGGGGAGGTGGGACAGGGAATTTTTGGGATAAGGAGCAATGGGACATAGGGACAGGGAGTCTGTAGGGTTGGAGATCCCTAAGGTTTAGGTCCCATATTTTTATTAAAAAAATAATGGGATCTGGGGACACGGAGGCTATAGGATGGGGGGGGGTATGGGGCTGGAGATCTATGGGGTTTAGATCCCATATTTTTATTTAAAAAAATCAATGGGATCTGGGGACATGGAGGCTATAGGATGGGGGGGGGTATGGGGCTGGAGATCCTTGGGGTTTAGATCCCATATTTTTATATAAAAACAATGGGATCTGGGGATACAGAGGCTATAGGACGGGGTTTATGGGGTTGGAGATCTGTGGGTATTAAATCCCATCTTTTTATATAAAACCAATGGGATCTGGGGACACAGAGGCTGTAGGATAGGGAGTCTGTAGGGCTACGGGTCAGTGGGGTTTAGATCCCATATTTTTATTTAAAAAAAATCCCATATTTTTATTAAAAATCCAATGGGATCTGGGGACACGGAGGCTATAGGATGGGGGTTCATGGGGCTGGAGATCCATGGGACCATAAAAACAAGGGGACAGGGATAGTTGGAGACATAAGGGACACGGAAGCTATAGGATGGGGGGTTTATATCCTATATTTTTATATAAAAACAATGGGAATTAGGGACAGGGATCAGTAGGGACAAGGGGACCTGGGGACAGGGAGCTTTTGGGGACGGGGTGGCTTTAGGACAGGGGGTTTCTATCCCATGTTTTTATATAAGATCAATGGGAATTAGGGACAGGGAGACCATGGGGAGAGGGATAAGGGGGACATAGGGACAAGGGGACCTGGGGATAGGGAGTTTCTGGAGGTTATATGGCAAAGGGGACATGGGGATAAGGGGATGTGGAGGTTATAGGGCAGGGAATCTATGGGGCCAGGGAGACGAGGGAGTTTCTGAGACCATTAGGGACAGGGTTTAATGGGGACAGGGATTAATGGGACCAGTGGACAGAAAGGCTGTAGGGCGGGCAGTCCATGAGGACAGGGGTCCATAGGGACAATGGGATCTGGGGGACAGGGAGATGCTGGAGACGTGGGAGCTATAGGGCAAGGGGGGCATGGGGATGGGGGTCAGTGGAGATATAGGGACAATAGGACCAGAGGACAGGGATCCAGGGGGAGGGGGAGTTCCTGGGGGCAGGGGGACGGGGGTTAATGGGATTAATGGGATTAATGGGGTTAATGGGATTAATGGGGACACTGGGACCCGGGACAGGCTCAATCGGGCCGCTCTGCGCCTGCAGCCCCACGAGCGGCCGCCAGGGGGCGACGGTGCCAAGAGGCTGGGGGGGTCTGCCCAGTATGGGGGGGGCGAGTCCCAGTTTGGGAGGGAGGCTCCTGCCCAGTATCAGGGCTCCCTGCCCAGTTTGGAGGCGGCAAATGCCCAGTTTGGGGGGGGTCCTGCCCAGTTTGGAGGGGGCTTCTGCCCAGTTTTAGAGGTCCCTGCCCAGTTTGGAGGGGTTTTGCCCAGTTTTGGGGGGGGTCAGTGCCCAGTCTGGGGGGGTCCTGCCCAGTCTGGGGGGTCCCTGCCTAGTTTAGAGTGGGTCAACGCCCAGTTTGGGGAGTTCTGCCCAGTCTGAGGGGTCAATGCCCAATTTGGAGGGGGGTCAATGCCCAGTTTGGGGGGCTCCTGCCCAGTTTGGAGGTGGTTAATGCCCAGTCTGGGGGGGGCTTCTGCCCAGTTTTAGAGGTCCCTGCCCAGTTTGGAGGGGTTCTGCCCAGTTTTGGGGGGCATCAATGCCCAGTCTGGAGGGGTCCTGCCCAGTTTTAGGGGTCCCTGCCCAGTTTGGAGGGGGTCAATGCCCAGTTTGGGAGGGTCCTGCCCAGTCTGAGGGGTCTTGCCCAGTCTGGGAGGCTCCTGCCCAGTTCGGGGAGGGAGGGTCCTGATGAGTTTCGGGGGTCCCTGCCCAGTTTGGAGGGGGTCAATACCCGGTCAGGGGGTGGTCCTGCCCAGTTTTAGAGGCCCCTGCCCAGTTTGGATGCAGCCAGTGCCAGTTTGGGATGGTCCTGCCCAGTTTGGGGGGCTCCTGCCCAATTTGGGGGGGGGGCGCTCCCTGCCCATTTGGGGACGAAGAGCAGCAGCCAGCCCCCCCCGACCCCCACCCCCACCACTGGGGGGGCTGCTCCCACCCTGCCCCCCCCCCCTTTGCTGTACCCCCTTACCCCTTCCAACGTCCCCCCCCGGCCCCGCTGCCCCCCTGTGTCCCCCCCCCCCCGGGGGGGTTTCCTGCCGCCGTTTTCCTCCGCACCCGGCCTTGACGTCAGGAGCGCGGTGATTCACGCCGGGCTGGCACGGGGGACACGCCAGGGACACGCCAGGGACACACAGGACACACAGGACACACCCTGCGCCGCGTCCCCCCCCTTGGGGACCTGGGGGGGCTGTGGCACCGCGGGGCGTTTCTGTCCCTGGGGGCTGCTGCTGGAGGCAGGAGACGGCCCCGAGGGTCCCCGTGGGGTCACAGCACTGTCCCCACATGGTGACTTCCCTGTCCCCATGTGTCAGGGAATGGTGACATCCCCATCCCTATGTGTCCCCACGTGGTGACATCCCTGTCCCCTTGTGTTTAGGCACAGTGACATCCCGGTCCCCATATGGTGACATCCCCAGCCCCATGTGTCCCAACAAAGTCACATCTTTGTCCCGGCATGGTGACATCCCTCTCCCCATGTGTCCTTCATGGTGACATCCCCATCCCCATGTGTCCCCACAAAGTCACATCTTTGTCCCCACATGGTGACATCCCTGTCCTCTTGTGTTTGGGCATGGTCCCATCCCTGTCCCCTTGTGTCCCCGCATGGTGACATCCCTGTCCCTGTGTGTCCCTCCATGGTGACATCCCCATCCCTATGTGTCCCCACACGGTGACATCCCTGTCCCCTTGTGTCCAGGCACAGTGACATCCCTGTCCCCATATGGTGACATCCCCAGCCCCACGTGTCCCCACAAAGTCACATCTTTGTCCCCACATGGTGACATCCCTCTCCCCTTGTGTCCCCACATGGTGACATCTGTGGCCCCATGTTTTTAGGCACAGTGACATCCCTGTCCCCACATGGTGACATCCCTGTCCTCTTGTGTTTGGGCATGGTGACATCCTTGTCCCCATGCAGTCCTTGCATGGTGACACCCCCAGCCCCACATGTCCCCAGAAGGCCACATCCCTGTCCCCCCATGGTGGCACCCCCGTGCCCCCCACCCCCCATCCCTCACTTCTTGTGCCCCCACTCGGTGCCACCCTCATCCCCTCACCACGCCACCCCGTGCCACCCCCTTTATCCCCGTGCCACCCCCTTTTTCCCCGTGCCACCCCCCTTTATCCCCGCTCCCCCCGGTCCCCCCCTGCCCTTCCCGCAGCCCCGGCGCTGCCGCTTCCGTCCCCGCCGCCACCGGCCCCTTCCCACGGCACCGGGACGGTGGCCCTGGCCCCGCTCCCACCGGGGCCGTACCGGGGGGGCCGCTTATTTTTAGCCTTGCTCCTTCCTGGCCGGATCCGGCACTCGCCTATTTTTTGCCACGGCGCCACGCAGGACCCGGCGAGAGGGGGGGGGGACACACACAAAAAGAAGGGGACAAGGGTGGTGGCCCCAGAAGGGGACAAGGGTGGTGGCCCCATGGGTGGCACCCCCAAAGCAGGGCACGGAGCCCCAATGAGTCAGTGCTGAGCGCTCAGGGGACAGCAGGGGACAGCGGGTAGGGGTGGTTGTCCCCTTGGCACCGCCACGGGGGGGGACAGGGTGTCCCCAAGAGGCGCCGGATCCGGGCGCCAGCGCCAGGTCAGGGTGGGGTTGAATGGAGCAAGGCCAAGGTGACCCCAAGCCCTCGGCGTCCCACAGTCCCCCCCCCCCCCCCCAAATTTCCAGCCACCCCGCTGGCTTCGGCCAGCCGCTCCTTGGGTTGTCCCCAAGCCACACTGGGGTCCCCGTCACCGCAGGATGAGGCCGCGGTGCCGGGAAGCGGTGTCCCCCCCCCCGTCCCCTTCGCCCTCCCTGCCCTTGCGGTGGCTTCCCGGCTTCCCGGCGAGGGACACGAGGGACACGAGGGACACGCGGCGCTTCCTTCCTCCCCACCCCTGCGGCAGCGGCGCACGGGGACGCGGCCTCACACGTGACCCCCCCCCCGTACACCACGGGCGGGGGTCCCCACGTCCCCTGTCCCCACTTGTGCCACATGCGAGGACCCCGGAGCGTTAAATTACAGCTTTTATGGCATTTTCTACAGGGGTCCCGCAGTGCCCAGAGTGAGCCCCGCACAGCAACGCACCCGGTTTTGGGGTGCGGCACTCGCCCAGCCTTAGGGTGCACCCAGTTTTTTTGGGGTGCTGCGCTCACCCGGCCTCAGGGCGCTGCAACACCTCCAGGTTTGGGGTGCAGCAATGCACCAGGCTCTGCAGGACAGAGAGGCACCCAGATTTGGGGTGTGTGCATCCAGTTTTGGGGTGAGCGTGCATCCAGCTTTGGGGTGCAACGTTGCATCCAGCTTTCGATGCAGCATTACACCCAGATTTGGGGTGAGCATGCACCCAGTTTTGGGGTGTAGTGTTGCACCCAGCTTTGGATGCAGAATTGCTCCCAGATTTGGGGTGAGCATGCACCCAATTTTGGGGTACAGTATTGCACCCAGCTTTGGGGTGCAACATTGCACTCAGTTTTGGGTGCAGCATTACACCCAGATTTGGGGTGAGCATGCACCCAGCTTCGGGGTGAGCGTGCACCCAGTTTTGGGGTGTAGTGTTGCATCCAGCTTTGGGGTGCAATGTTGCACCCAGCTTTGGATGCAGCATTACACCCAGATTTGGGGTGAGCGTGCACCCAGTTTTGGGGTGTAGTGTTGCACCCAGCTTTGGATGCAGCATTACACCTAGCTTCGGGGTGAGCGTGCACCCAGTTTTGGGGTGCAGTGTTGCATCCAGCTTTGGGGCGCAACCTTGCACCCAGGCCTGGGCTGAGCGTGCACCCAGTTTTGGGGAGCACAGCGTTGCACCCAGCTTCGGGGTGAGCGTGCGCCCAGCCACGGCGCACCGCCTCGCACCCGGTTTTGGGGCGCAGCACCCCACAGCAGGGTCACAGGCGCGCCTCGGCCGGGCGCTCAGGGGTGCGGGCGCCGCAGGCGGAGGCGGGAGAGGCGCGCCAGGCGCTGCAGGTCGAAGGGCAGGCAGCGCGCCTCGCGGGTCACGGCCAGCTCGGAGAAGAAAGCGCGCTCACGGGGCAGCCCCGGCTCGCCCTCGCCCTGCTCCAGGTCCTTCACCACCCCGAGGATCTCCTGGCGCGCCGCCTGGCTCCGCAGCCCCCGCACGTCCAGCACTGCCGCCACGTGCTTCCTCCTGCGGGATCCAGGGGTGGGTGGTGAGAGAAGGGGTGGTGTGGGGTTTGGGGGGAGAAGGGGGCTGGGTGTGGGGTGAGCGGGCACACTGTTTTGGGGTGAGTGGGCACCTGGATTGGAGCGAGTGGGCACCCAGTTTTGGGGTGAGTGGGCACCCAGATTGGGGTGAGCGGGCATCCAGATTGGCGCGAGTGGGCACCCTGTTTTGGGGTGAGTGGGAATCCAGATTGGGGTGATTAGGCACCCGGCTTTGGGGTGAGTGGGCACCCAGCTTTGGGGTTAGAATATCCCCTATTTGGGGTGAGCACTGCACCCAGCTTGGGGTGATTGTGCACCCAGATTGGGGTGAGTGGGCACCCAGATTGGGGTGAGTGGGCACCCAGCTTTGGGGTTAGAATACCCCTTATTTGGGGTGAGCACTGCACCAAGCTTGGGGTGAGTGGGCACCTTGTTTTGGGGTGAGCATTGCACCCTGGTTTGAGTTGAACACTGCACCTTGTTTTGGGGTGAGTGGGCACCCAGCTTTAGGGTGAGAATACCCCCTATTTGGGGGCGAGCACTGCACCAAGCTTGGGGTGAGTGAGCACCCTGTTTTGGGGTGAGTGTGCACCCAGCTTTGGGGTGAGAATACCCCCTATTTGGGGGTGAGCACTGAACCAAGCTTGGGGTGAGCATTACACCCAGATTGGGGTGAGTGGGCACCCTGTTTTGGGGTGAGTGGGCACCTATCTTTGGGGTGAGCATTGCACCCCAGATTGGGGTGAGTGGGCACCCAACTTTGGGGTTAGAATATCCCCTATTTGGGGTGAGCACTGCACCTTGTTTTAGGGTCAGTGGGCACCCCGCTTTGGGGTGAGCGTGCACCCTGTTTCGGGCTGAGCGTGCGGCCAGCTCTGGGGCCAGCCCTCTTCCCAGCTCTAACTGGTCCCAGCTGAAGGCCTGACTGGAGCTATTTAAAGCTCGCCAGGCGCCGGAGCTTGGCCCCGCGCCCGGGGGTGTCCGGCCTCGTCCTGCAGGGCCCACGCGTGCCACCAGCCCCGAGGGCGGCCGCGGGTGACCCAGGGCCGGGGAGGGGACTTGGCACGGGACGCGGCGGCGGCGGGCGGCCAGGAGGGACCGGCAGCAGGCGGGGGCTGCCGGGAAGGACAGAGGCGGCGTCCTGCCACCCGTGGGGACACCACGTCCTGCCCTGGTCCCTGCGGGGAGGTGGCGTCCTGCCTGGCCGTGCCACCATGCTCCCATCCCCGTGGGGACACATGTGCCACCATGCTCACATCCCCATGGGGACACACGTGCCACCTCGCTCCCTTTCCTATAGGGACACACGTGCCAGCATGCTCCTGTCCCCATGGGGACACGTGTGCCACCAGGCTCCCATCCCTATGGGGACACATGTGCCACCCTGCTCTGATTCCCTTGGGGACACACGTGCCACCCTTCTTCTATCCCCATGGGGACACAAGTGCCACCCTGCTCACATCCCCATGGGGACACAAGTGCCACCCTGCTCCCTTTCCTATAGGGACACATGTGCCACCATGCTCCCATCCCCATGGGGACACCACATCCTGCCCTGCTCCCATCCCCATGGGTACACACGTGCCACCCTTCTTCTATCCCATGGGGACACGCGTGCCACCACGCTCCCATCCCCACAGGGCCAGGGTGTCCAGCATGGCCGTGCCACCCCCTCCTGGGGACCACTGCCCCCCCCCTCCTCCCCTTGGGGACCGCCACTCACCGGACATCGGGGAAGTCGCGCACCAGGACGCCCACCTCCATCTGCAGCGCCGCCGTGTCCTCCAGCACCAGCAGCTCCCGCAGCCGCGGCACCACCGAATCCAACCAGGGCGAGGCCGAATCCTGCGGGCACCGCAGTCTCAGCACCTCTTTTTGGGCTTGGCACCACCCTTGGGTGCCGGGGCGAGGGTGTTGGGGGGGGGGGGGGTCCTGGTGCTCACCAAGCGGCCGAAGAGCTCGCGGAGCTGCCGGGCTTCGTCGCCCAGGCGGGCGGCCACGCGGGCGCGCATTTTGGCCGAGGTGCAGACCAGGCGCGCCTGCAGCAGCGGCCGCACGTACTCGATGAGCACCCGCCGGTGCATCTCGCTCACCAGCACCTGCCACGCACGGGATCAGCACCCATGGATGCCGCCGGCACCCAGCCCGCTGCCCCCATCGGCACCCACCTGGTAGGGCTCCGGGCGCAGCGAGCGCAGCTTCTGGGTGAAGCTGGTGATGAGCATCACGATGGTGTCGAAGGCGTCCGAGCTCGTCAGCCACTTGCGCTTCATCAGCTTGTTGAAGTAGGGCTGGGCGAGGGGCGGGCACCCAGTGGGTGACACCCCGGCCTCGCCCCCCAGGGGCCTCGCACCTCAACCCAGCACCCAAGGGTGGCACCACCATCATGGGTTTCACCTCCACTCAGCACCCAAGGGTGGCACCACCACCATGAGTTTCACCTCAACCCAGCACCCAAGGGTGGTGCCATCACCAGGGGTTTTACCTCAACTCAGCACCCAAGGGTGGCGCCATCACCAGGGGCTTCACCTCAGCTCAGCACCCAAGGGTGGCACCACCATCATGGGTTTAACTTCAAACCAAGCACCCAAGGGTGGCACCATCATCATGGGCTTCATCCCAGCTCAGCACCCAATGGTGGCACCATCATCATGAGTTTCACCTCAACTCAGCACCCAAGGGTGGCACCACCATCATGGGTTTCACCTCCACTCAGCACCCAAGGGTGGCACCACCACCATGAGTTTCACCTCAACCCAGCACCCAAGGGTGGCGCCATCACCAGGGGTTTTACCTCAACTCAGCACCCAAGGGTGGCGCCATCACCAGGGGCTTCACCTCAGCTCAGCACCCAAGGGTGGCACCACCATCATGGGTTTAACTTCAAACCAGGCACCCAAGGGTGGCACCATCATCATGGGCTTCATCCCAGCTCAGCACCCAATGGTGGCACCATCATCATGAGTTTCACCTCAACCCAGCACCCAAGGGTGGTGCCATCACCAGGGGTTTTACCTCAACTCAGCACCCAAGGGTGGCGCCATCACCAGGGGCTTCACCTCAGCTCAGCACCCAAGGGTGGCACCACCATCATGGGTTTAACTTCAAACCAAGCACCCAAGGGTGGCACCATCATCATGGGCTTCATCCCAGCTCAGCACCCAATGGTGGCACCATCATCATGAGTTTCACCTCAACTCAGCACCCAAGGGTGGCACCACCATCATGGGTTTCACCTCCACTCAGCACCCAAGGGTGGCACCACCACCATGAGTTTCACCTCAACCCAGCACCCAAGGGTGGCGCCATCACCAGGGGTTTTACCTCAACTCAGCACCCAAGGGTGGCGCCATCACCAGGGGCTTCACCTCAGCTCAGCACCCAAGGGTGGCACCACCATCATGGGTTTAACTTCAAACCAGGCACCCAAGGGTGGCACCATCATCATGGGCTTCATCCCAGCTCAGCACCCAATGGTGGCACCATCATCATGAGTTTCACCTCAACTCAGCACCCAAGGGTGGCACCACCATCATGAGTTTCACCTCAACTCAGCACCCAAAGGTGGCAACACCACCAGGAGCTTTACCTCAACCCAGCACCCAAGGGTGGCACCACCACCATGAGTTTCACCTCAACCCAGCACCCAACAGATGGGCGCCACCACCCTGGGCTTCTCCCCAGCTCAGCACCCAAGGGTGGGCACCCTGCCCGGCACCCAGGGGCACCATCCCCGCCTCACCTTGAGGTCCTCAAAGAGGCGCTGGGTGAGGACGTGGTTGCAGAGCCGCGTCACCTTGTCCAGGGTGGCGTGGGCTTGGCGCCGCGGCTCCTCGCCCTCCGGGTGCCCAAACTGCGCCAGGCGCTCGGCGAAGGCCCTGCCACGGGGCAGTCAGAGGGTGCTGAAGGGTTCCCTGGCACCCCGGGGACACCAGGGACACCAGGGATCCCCGAGCACCCTGGGGACCCCAAGCACCCTGGGGACACCAAGCACCCAGGAGACACCAAGGACCTCCAAGCACCCCAAGGACCTCAAGCACCCTGGGGACACCAAGCATCCTGGGGACACCAGGGACCTCCAGCACCCCAAGGACCCCAAGCACCCTGGAGACCTCAAGCTCCCCAGGGACACCCAGCACCCCAAGCACCCCAGGGACCACGATCCCCTAAGCACCCCTGGGTACACCAGGGGCCACCAAGCACCCAGGAGACACCAGGGACCCCTAAGCACCCAAAGGACCCCCAGCACTCTAGGGACACCAGGGACCTCCAAGCACCCCAAGGACCCCAAATCCCCCTGGGACCCCAAACACCCCAGGGACCCCCAAGGACCCCAAGCACTTCAGGGACCTCAGGAACCAGAATCCCCCAAGCACCCCAAGGACCCCTGGGCACACCAGGGACCCCCCAAGCACCTTGGAGACACCAAGGACCCTCAGCACCCAAAGGACCCCCAGCACTCTAGGGACACCAGGAACCTCCAAGCACCCCAAGGTCCCCAAATCCCCCTGGGACCCCAAACACCCCAGGGACCCCCAAGGACCCCAAGTCCCCCAGGGACCCCAAGCACCCTGGAGCCACCAGGGACCCCCAGCACCCCACCCACCCCAGGGACCCAGTGCCCAGGGTGCCCTCACCTGAAGGGGGGGCAGCAGTTGACCAGGGCGATGGCCCGGCCGGTGGCACCGTCAGGGGGGGTGGCTTCGCCGGGGGCCTCCAGGAACCGCTCCACCTTCCGCTGGAAACTGCAGCACCCACGGGAGTCACCCACGGTGGCACCCTGGGGACCCTGGGGACCCTGTCCCCACGCTCATCCAGTGCCCCCTGTCCCCAACGTGTCCCCCACACCCACCCCAGCTCTGCCCCGTGTCCCTGCACCCGTCCCCGGTTCCTCACCTCGCCGTGCCCATCTGCTGTCCCCCCATGTCCCCCCCGTCCCCACGCCTGTCCCACGCCACCCCGTGTCCCCGTGCCCACCTGTGCAGGAAGGCCACCAGCACGCCCAGCAGGCTGTGGGCCATCTCCATGCCGAATTCGGGGGTGATCTGGGGGGCTCGGTCCACGTGCGCCCGCAGCAGCTGTGGGCACGGGCACCGTTGGGGACGGGGACGTGGCCACCACCCCGGTGTCCCCTGGGGTGCCAGCCACCACCCCAATGTCCCTCCACGTCCCCCGTGCTCCCTACAACCTGGTGTCCCCAGCACCTTGTGGGACACCCAGGCAGCCCCACGGGGGCGAGGGGGGCACCCTGCAGGGCACCGGGTCTCCAAGGGGTTGGGGACAGGGGACAGAGCCGTACCCCGGTGACACGGGTGGCCAGTCCCTCCTGCAGGTCATCGCTGGAAGCTTCCTCAGCCCAAGTGTCCTCGCTGAGCTGCAGCTCCTGCGCCACCGCCACTTCCACCTTGGCCTGGGGACCGGGGACGCGTGGGGACACCGAGCATAGGGACAGCGGGGCGCAGGGCCACCGCCTGCCCCCAGCCTTGGGACTTGTTGTGGCGCACATCCCAGTGGCCAAACTGGTGCCGTCCCAGTGCCCATCGTGGTTGTCCCCATGCCCATCGCAGTGCCACCCCAGTGCCTGTCCCAGTGTCATCCCAGTGCACATTGTGGCTGTCCCCATGTCCATCCCAGTGCCACCCCAGTACTAATCCCAGTGCCACCCTAGTGCCCAACATGTTTGTCCCCATACTGGTCCCAGTGCCACCCCAGTGCCAATCGCAGTGCCACCCCAGTGCCCGTCCCAGTGCCACCCCAGTGCCCATTGTGTCTGTCCCCATGCCCATCCCAATGCCACCCCAGTGCCCATCCCAGTGCCACCCCAGTGCCCACCATTTCTGTCCCCATGCATCCCAGTGCCACCCCAGTGCACCTCATGAGCACACTCCAGTCCCAGCCCCAGTGTCACCCCAGTGCCCATTGTGTTTGTCCCCATACTGGTCCCAGTGCCACCCCAGTGCCCACTGTGTCTGTCCCCATGCCCATCCCAGTACCACCCCAGTGCCCATCCCAGTGCCCATCATTTCCATCCCCATGCCCATCCCAGTGCCACCCCAGTGCACCTCACGAGCCCACCCCAGTGCCACCAGTGCCTTCCCCAGTGCCACCCCAGTGCCCACCCTGTCCCCACTGGGGCCGTACCTTGACGGCAGCGATGCAGGACCTCTCGAGGCCCCGTTGGGTCTCGGGGGGCAGGAGGGGTCCCAGCGCCTGTGCCTGCAGCAGGGCCCCGATTTCGGGGTGCCCCAGCACCTCCCTGTGGGCACAGAGTTCTCAGAGCACCCCCCTGGGGGGGCATCGCAGCACCCGGCGTCACCCACCCACCACCCTGGGGACAGCCCCGGGGGCGCACAGAGGGACATGGGGGTGGCATCGGGTGCCCAGTGGGGTGGGGTGGGGGGCGTGGGTGACACGGGGTGCCCAGAGGGTGAAGGGAATGGGTGCTGAGGGGTCCCATGGGTGGCACCAGGTGACCACATGTCAAGGGGAGAGGTGCCACAGGGTCCCATGGGTGGCACTGGGTGACACTGGGTGCCTGGCGTGCCAAGGGATGGGCACCAGGGGGTCCCATGGGTGCCAGTGGGCACCCAGCCTGCCAAGGGGATGGGTACCAGGGGATCCCATGGGTGCCAGTAGGTGCCCAGTGTGCCAAGGGGACAAGCACCACGGGGTCCCACGGGTGCCAGTGGGCACCCAACGTGCCGAGGGGATGGGCACCAGGGGGTCCCATGGGTGACAATGGGCACCCAGCATGCCAAGGGGATGGGCACCACGGGGATCCCATGGGTGCCACCAGCAGCCCGCGCGCCTCACCTGGGGTAGGCGTTGCTGTGCCAGTCGAGCAGCAGGTAGAGGTCGGGCACGGCCAGCGGTCGCTGCGCCAGGGCTCCCAGCTGCTGCGCCAGCGCCCGGTGGTACCCGCGGGCGTAGACCCCGAAGGCGCCGTACTCGGCGGGGTAAGCGGGGGCCACGTGGCACCGCACGGCCCCCAGGTCGGCCACCAGCCGGCCGGCCAGCGCCGCCAGCCTCGCCCCCAGCCCGGCGGCCGGTGCCACTTGTGCCAAGCGCTCGCCCGCCGCTCGCCCCACGGCCTCCTGCCAGCGGCGCCGCAGGGCGCGCGGGCGCCCCGGGGTGCCCGGGGGGTGCCGGCGGTCGGCCGCCTCCTCCTGCTCCAGCACCCGCACCACCAAACGCAGGGGGGGGTAGGGGCGGCCGGCCGGCACCGCTTCGCCCACCACCGCCCAGAGCTGCGCCAGCAGCGCCTCGTACAGCAGGGCCACGTCCCGTGCCTGCCGCCCCGCTGCGGGGACAGGGGACGGTGGGGACGGTGACGTCCCTGTCACCGCTGCTGCTGCTGCTGCCACGCACTCGGCCTCCAGCGCGATGATCTGCTCGTCCGCCGCCACCAGCTCGCGGCGCTGGATCAGCTCCAGGATCTCCAGCACTGGGGGGGGGGGGTTGGGGTCATTGGAGGGGGGTTTGGGGTCACTGGAGAGGGGTTTGGGGGTGTTGGAGGGCGGTTTGGGGTCACTGGAGGGGATGTAGGGGGGTTTGGGGTCATTGGAGGGGGGTTTGGGGTCACTGGAGAGGGGTTTGGGGGTGTTGGAGGGGGGGTTGGGGGCATTTGAGGGGATGTGGGGGGGGTACTGGGTCATTGGAGGGGATTTGGGGTCACTGGCAGGGATGTATGGGGGCATTGGGGTCATTGGAGGAGGGTTTGGGGTCACTGGAGAGGGGTTTGGGGGTGTTGGAGGGGAGGTTGGGGGCTTTGGAGGGGGGGTTGGGGTTATTGGAGGGGCGGTTGGGGGCATTGGAGGGGATGTGGGGGGGTACTGGGGTCATTGGAGGGGGTTCAGGGTCATTGGTTTGGAGTTTGGGGCCATTGGCAGGGATCTAGGGGGATAGAGGGGTCATTGGAGGGGGGTTTGGGGTCATTGGAGGAGGGTTTGGGGTCATTGGTTTGGGGTTTGGGGTCATTAGAGGGGATGTGGGGGGGTACTGAGGTCATTGGAGCAGGGTTTGGGGTCATTGGAGGGGGGGTTGGGAGGGTTTGGGGTCATTTGATTGGAGTTTGGGGGGTTTGTGGTCTTTGGAGTGGGGCTTGGGGGGTTTGGGGGTGTTGGAGGGGGGTTTGGGGTCATTGGAGGGGTGGTTGGGGGTATTGCAGGGGATGTAGGGGGGTACTGGGGTCATTGGAGGGGGTTCGGGGTCATTGGTTTAGACTTTGGGGCCATTGGTGGTGATGTAGAGGGATAGAGGGGTCATTGGAGGGGGGTTTGGGGTCATTGGTTTGGTGTTTGGGGTCACTGGAGGGGATGTGGGGGGGGTACTGGGGTCATTGGAGGGGGGTTTGGGGTCACTGGATGGGGATTTGGGGTCATTGGAGGGGGGTTCATCCCACTGGGTGTGGGAGGCACCCATGGGTGCTGCAGACCCGGCAGCCAGGAGGTCCAGCTGGGTGCTCTGCGTCCCCCATGGCCCCATCCCAATGTTCCCCCTCCCTATGTCCCCCTCCCTATGTCCCCCATCCCTGTGTCCCCATGTCCCCATCCCAAAACATCCCCATCCCCATGTCCCCCATCCCCACATCCCCATCCCAATGTCCCCTAATCCCATGTCCTCCATCCCCACGTCCCCCATCCCTGTGTCCCCATGTCCCTTAACCCCATGTCCCCATCCCCACATCCCCATCCCAATGTCCCCTAATCCCACGTCCCCATCCCCATGTCCCCATCCCAGTGTCCCCTAATCCCACGTCCCTATCCCCATGTCCCCATCCCAGTGTCCCCCCTTCCCATCCCCACGTCCCCATCCCAATGTCCCCACGTCCCCACATCCCCCCCCACCTCTCCCCCACCCCCTCGCCCCCATCCCCGCTCACCCGACAGCGGCTCCTTGGCCTTGCTGCGCGCCTCCTGCCTCCGTCCCCCGCCGTCCCCGTCCCCGTCGGGCGCCCCGTCGGGTTCGGGTGACCCCGGCGAGCGCTCGGCCAGGGACCCCCGACGTCCCTTTGTCCCCAAGGCCAGCCTCAGCAGCGAGCTGCGTTTGGGGACCGGCCGCTCGCTCAGGGTCTCCACGCTGGCTTTGCGCCTCCCCGGCAGCCTCCGCAGGAGCCCGAAATCCTCCGAACGCCGCCGCAGCCCCCGGGCGCGACCCCCGTCCCCGTCGCCGTCCCCGTCCCCGCTTTTGGGACCGGGGCGGCGAGCGCGGCCGAAGGGTGCCAAGCCCACCAGGCGCTCCAGGGTGGCCCGGCGCCGGTAGCGGCTCTCGGGGCTGGCGGCGAAGGGGTCGCCATCCTCCTCCTCCTCCTTGGGGGCTTTCTTCAGCAGAGGCATGGCCTGGGGGCGGCACGGCAGCGGGGTGGCACCGGAGCACCCCGAGGGAGCACCCCCATGGGTGCAACCTGGAGACCCCTCTGTGCAACCCCTCCGTGCAACCCCGTCGTGCAACCCTGTTGTGCACACTGCTCTGTGCAACCCCTCCGTGCAACCTCTCCATGCACACCACTCTGTGCAACCCCGTCGTGCACACCGCTCTATGCAACCCCTATGTGCACGCACACCATGCACAACACTTTGTGCATCCCCTCTGTGCAACCCCTCTGTGCAACCCCGTTGTGCACACTGGTCTATGCAACCCCTCTGTGCACACTGCTCTGTGCACAACGCTCTGTGCAACCCCTCCATGCAACTTTGCCATGCACAACACTTTGTGCAACCCCTCCGTGCAACCTCTCTGTGCAATCCTGCCATGCATTCCCCTCTGTGCAACCCCTCTGTGCAACCCCGTCGTGCACACTGCTCTGTGCAGCCCCTCTGCGAGTGTGCAACTGCTCCGTGCAAGCCCACGAGTGCCACCCCCACGAGCGTGCAACTGCTCCGTGCATCCCCTCCACGCAAACCCAGCGTGGGAGCGTGCACCCGCTCCGCGCACCCCCCCCATCCCCCGTGCAAACCCACTCGTGCAACTCCCGTGAGTGTGCAACTGCTTCGTGCAACCCCTCCGTGCAACCCCCCCATCTGTGCAAACCCCATCCACGCACCCCCCCCCCTGGGGGCGTGCAACCGCCCCGTGCAAACCCATCGGTGCAAACCCCCCCCCGAGCGCGCAAATCCCCCCCTGAGCGTGCAAACCGCTCCGTGCAAACCCCCCCTATCCGTGCAACCCCCCCAGGAGCGTGCAACCCCCCCCGAGCGTGCAACCCCATCCGTGCAACCCCCCCCCCCGGAATGTGCACCCCCCCCCCCGCACCCCTCGCACCCCCTCGGTCGCTCCCCGCCGAGCCGCCGCCGCCGCCGGTCCCCGCGGAGCAGCGGGCGCGGGGCCGGGGGTTTCCTGAGGAAGCGCCGCCCCCCCCCCGCCGCCGCCCCCGCCCGGGGCAGGGTCAGCCCCGGTTCCGCTGGCACCGGGAGAAGGGGGGGGGGGACGGGGGGAGGATGGGGGGGGATGGGGGAAAAGGGGGGGGACGGGGGGGGCAGGGGAAAAGGGGGGAGGATGCGGGGAGGGACGCGTGGGACCCCTGTACCCAAATGTGCGCAATGGCCCCATGTCCCTTAACCCATGTCCCCGTGTCCCCATATCCTCATGTCCCATATCCCATGTCCCCATGTCCCATGTCCCCATGTCCCCATGTCCCCATATCCCCTATCCCCATATCCCCATATCCCATACCCCATGTCCCATGTCCCCATGTACCATGTCCTCATGTCCCCATGTCCCCATGTCCCATATCCCCTATCCCCTATCCCCATATCCTATGTCCCATATCCCCATATCCCCATGTCCCATGTCCCCATATCCCCCTGTCCCCCATCCCCCTGTCCCTATATCCCCGTCCCATATGTCACTAATGTCCCCATGTATCTCCATGCCATGCTGCATCCGATGTCCCCATGTCCACCTCCAAATGTCCCCTTTTAGCATGTCCCCATGTCCCCATGTCCCCATATCCCTGTGCCCCCCAAATGTCCCAACATCCCAATGTCCCCATGTCCCCATCTTCCTACACCCCTGTCCCATATGTCACTGATGTCCCCATGGATCCACACATCATGACGTATCTCATGTTCCCAGTGTCCCCATGTCCCCATGTCCCCTGATGCTCCCAATGTCCCCAATGTCCCTCAATGTCCCTATGTCCCCATCTCCCCCAATGTCCCCAATGTCCCATTTCTCCCAATGTCCCCATGTCCCCCAATGTCCCACAATGTCCCCATTGTCCCCAAAGTCCCCCAATGTCCCCAATGTCCCCATATCCCCCAATGTCCCCAATGTCCCCATGTCCCCCAATGACCCCCAATGACCCCCAATGTCCCCATGTCCCCATGTCCCCCAATGTCCCCGATGTCCCCAATGTCCTCAATGTCCCCAATTTCTCCAAAGTCCCCCAATGTCCCTATGTCCCCCAATGTCCCCAATGTCCCCATATCCCCCAATGTCCCATTTCCCCCAATGTCCCCAATTTCTCCAAAGTCCCTCAATGTCCCCCAATGTCCCCCAATGACCTTCAATGTCCCTTAATGGCCCCAATGTCCCTATATCCCCCAATGTCCCCAATGTCCCCAATATCCCCAATGTCCCCAAAGTCCCCATGTCTCCCAAAGTCCCCCAATGTCCCCATATCCCCCAATGTCCCCAATGTCCCCAATGTCCCTATGTCCCTATGTCCCCATGTCCTCCAATGTCCCCCAATGTCCCCTTTCCCCCAATGTCCCCAATTTCTCCAAAGTCCCCCAATGTCCCCAATGTCCCCATGTCCCCCAATATCCCCCAATGTCCCCCAATATCCCTGATGTCCCCAATGTCCCCATGTCCCCAATGCCCCAATATCCCCAATATCCCCCAGTGTCCCCATATATCCACATTATGGGACGCATCCCCATCCCCATCCCCGTCCCCGTGTCCCCACTTTGTCCCCCCGGTGTCCCCACGCCCCTGGGACCCCACGTGACGTCGTGCCCCACGTGACAGTCGCGTCCCCCCCACACTCCCGGCCGCGCCGGGCACTCAAGGGTTAACTCTCTCCCCCCGGCTCCCGATTGGCTACAGCACCAGCCAATGGGAAGGAGGC